CTAAATTTTGTGCCCCCCCCCCCGTAAAAACCCCTTTTTTGAAAAATGCTCTCGTACGCCCCTGGTAAATATGTACATATATCAGTAATATTATCTGGTTCTAATCTAACTCCTAGTTATACTTTATTTTTCTCATATTTTTGGCCGAGAAAAATAACGAAGTTAGATATTTTATAGAAAACTTCTTTTTAGATATTTATTTTCTTTATTTTCTTTTTTTTCTACTGTCTGATACATCTTTACCTAACGAAACATAACAGTAGCAATACGACTTTGGTTATTGTTTCAAGAATCATACTTGTTCAAGTAGGTTGACGACTGAGTCCGTTCTCTCCATAGATAGTGGTCGTGTAGTTCACGTACTTTGGCGGACGATATGTTGGCCGCTAGATGTCTCATGCAAAATTCTTATCTGATAGATAGATAATTTCTCCGTACACTTGACGTCCAATTTAGGAGACAATAATATCATATTTAGAAGATAATTAGAAGAGAAGAGTGAATTTTGAAGAAATAATTAATCTGAAATGATTAATTATGAAAATAATTGGCTTTGTCGTCTGTATGTTTGTTTGTATGTAATAAACGTCGGGCCCGTAATTTAAGAGGGACACACTGTATCTAGCTAAGTATAGTAACTAAAGAAACGTTTGTATTTCTACTGCCAAGGTTTTATATTTTGTCATCAAAAAGTTTTCCTTCAAGCCTCAGGAAAGTTGTTTAATATTTATTTATTTAAAATTTTAGTTCTACGTTAAGGAAAACAAGCTTTTATAATAAACGAAGAGAAGAATTTTGATATATTTTTTGACAAAACTTGACAAACAACTGATTTGTATTGTTTAGAGACCCCTGCTCCTCCCCGTCAATGTTTGCTGGGTAAAGCTAAGATCAAGTCCGTGAAGTTGACAGGAATCCTTACTTTCGGATTCGTCCTCTGTTGGACTCCGTATCAGATTGCTAACATCTGGTAAGGTTAATGAGATTGAATTTAATTAACTGCGAGAAGTCTTTGAAGTACAAAGAGCCAGTTCAACTATGTTTCTGTTATGGCTAGTTCAACTTGGAGTTTTAAAATGTTTAACTATCCTTAGAGCCAAGCTCTAAGTCTAATTTAGCCAAAAGTTTGATATTTTCAGCGCTGTGATTGGTTGAAATAGCTTGATATTTTCAGCCCTGTGATTGGTTGAAATAGTCCAATTTTTCCATACATCAGCTGACTACCAATTTTTGAACTTTGAATCAGTTATTCAAGATTTGAACCAATGAGCACTTAAACAGTAGTTGAACTAGACGTTAGGTAGTTCAGTGACCTCTCTCCAATTCATTAAATTCGGCCAGATTTACTTAAAGATCAAGGTTTAGGTCGTCATTAAATCTCATTCTTATTTGGATAACCCTGGACTTATTTAGGTATTTTATTGACCAAGAATCCTTCTTCAAACTGGATTTCCGAATTCAAAAGTTTCTCTGGGTGTTCTGCTGCGTCAACAACTGCGTCAATCCCTTCTTGTACAACATGTTTTCGTACAATTCCAGCGTCCACTGCAGGTCAGTCAGCATGTTTTACCCAACATGTTGGGCCAGTGCTTGTTTTTTGCGAACACTCCCTTTAAACAGAATTTGAAAATTGCCATTATCTTAAAGGGATTTTGTTCACTTACACAATATATGTATTCTTTTTAATAATTTTTTTAATGGGGAGCGATCTCCCTGAAAGCACAACAAGTTTCATTATTTTATATAGCAGGAAGCAAAGCAGAAGCGGACATGAAGCACAAGACTCGGAAACCAGGGTAATCATTTATAATCTTATATCTGCAGGGTTATTATTAGCTCTGTCTGGTCTGCTAAATCCTCTACCCAGTTCATAAACATTTGCTAGAGGCTCGGGTCCTGACTCTTTATATAATGTGTCACCCATTGATTATTGTTCGTGTGTGGTTTAGAAATTGTCTCTTAGATCATTTATGTAGACTTTCCACTTTTCCAGATTTAATTATTTGTCATAATTTGATGTTTCTCAGATTTTTTATCTTAAATTTGTCTAATCTTCTTCCTGTCTTATCTTCTTCCTGTCTAATATTCTTCCGGTCTTATCTTCTCCCTGTCTAATCTTCTTTCTGTCTAATCTTCTACCTGTCTAATCTTCTACCTGTCTAATCTTCTTTCTGTCTAATCTTCTACCTGTCTAATCTTCTACCTGTCTAATCTTCTTCCTGTCTAATCTTCTACCTGTCTAATCTTCTTCCTGTCTATTTTTTCCTTGTCTAATCTTCAACCTGTCTAATCTTCTAGCTGTCTAATCTTCTTCCTGTCTAATCTTCTAGCTGTCTAATCTTTTACCTGTTTAATCTTCTACCTGTCTAATTTTCTACCTGTCTAATCTTCTACCTGTCTAATCTTCTACCTGTCAAATCTTCTTCCTGTCTAATCTTCTACATGTCAAATCTTCTTCCTGTCTAATCTTCTACCTGTCTAATCTTCTTCCTGTCTAATCTTCTACCTGTCTAATCTTCTACCTGATTAGTATTCTACCTGTCTAATCTTCTACCTGTCTAATCTTCTTCCTTTCTATTTTTCTTCTTGTCTAATATTCCTATCTAATCCTCTACCTGTCTAATCTTCAATCAACCAGATTTTTGAAACACCTTGAAATTTTTTGTTCAGCCCGGAATAGAGCTACAGGAAACTCCATTTCTACAAAAAGATCGGTTTGTCGGGAGCAAGGTTTCAAGAAGTCTTCTCATCAACTCAAGAAGGAACAGAGCTTCAATAAATTCAAGGATTTCATTCTCCAGCACTAAGATGTAATAAGTTGACTGGAAAAACGACTTAAGTCGGCATAAGAAATTGGCTCCCTCTCTCTAGGTTTCCAACCTTATGGTGAGCTTTAACACAGACAAGGTTTATTTGGAGGGATTTTTAATCGTAAAATATCGTAAAAATAATTCGGCTGGATTTTCTGTCCGTCGGTGTCCATTTGATAATTGTCAGTGTAGTATATTACACGGCCCGCTTATAGAAATGCTTCTATCTATCGATCGTTACTATATGTAATTTTGTGGGTTTGCTGTACAGCTGTTATATCTTGTTTTCAGAATTCCAAAATGTGGTCTGCCGTTTTTGTACCTTAAGAATTGACCGAGATATTGAGAACTTTGTTAAAAATTAAAATTTAGAATTTCATAACCAACAAATTTTATGTTACAAAGAAGGAGGTTAAATTTTACCAAGTTTTAAAGACTTACAATGTTTTTCTATGCTCCTCTGACATCTATTAACTTTACGAAAACCACAGAAAAGTTGGAAGTACAGGTTTCAATGTCTAACGTACTGCATAACACCCCAGCGAAAAATTACATCATACCTTGACTATGGTATATCCATTCTATCATATATCCATGGTTTATTACGTTTGAATTATTTAGTGTAATACCATTGGGCTATATCCAAGATCAAACTAAAATTTCTGAAGGAACTGAGTGTGAGCAAGAAACTGAAATTATATAATCCCATTGGGCTCCAAAGATATAGGAATTAAAAAACATGACAAAACTCAGTTCCTTTGCTCCTAAATAAATGATAAAGCTAATTCTTAAAAGGAATTTCAGGAAAATTAAATGTGAACCTCATTCAGTACCCTCACACAGATATCTGTGAAATTAAAGTGAAAACTGAAAGTTTTCAGATATATATAATTATTATCTCAGACTACTGCACGCTTCGGTAAAAATACCAGTTTTGTACTGAAAAATTAAAAGCTTTAAAGGAACTAAGTTCTTCCCACAAACTTAAATTTTCTAGTTCCTAGACCTTTGCAACCTGATGGTTAAACCTTTGATATTTAAACTTAGAGTCTTTGATCTAACAGAATTTGTATCGGGTTGCAAATATAAAGTTGTTCACAGTTTTTGGAAAGAACTAATTCCTTTATGTAAAAAAATGCCGATTATATCGGTGATTACAAAAAAGTGTAATAATTAAATGTTTACTGTGAATTGTGATAAATGTGTGTACCAACAATACAATTAGTAAAGTTTTAAACCTGAAATAGCAACAGTAAAATAGCAAGAGTAAAATTTTTAAAAAAACTTAAAATTTTGGCGAGTTTAAGTCCTTTTTTAGTTTAAAGCGTAAAGTTTTAAAACTAAGATAATATCTTCAAAGTTTGATCTTTCTATTGAGTATGGAATACGAAATAAATGTTTGTTGTGATATGTACCATACAATTAAATTGAAATAATATTTTAAAAACATAACTTTATACAATAAGTATCAAATAAATGTATGTAAAATGTTTTTAAAAAAGAAATTATTCTTTTATTTGATTGAGTTGTAAGATAGTTTTTAATCCAGATCCCAGAGTCCAAATCTAATGAATTAAGAGCCGCGTCTCAAATCCCCGGTTTCAATTGAGTGCCGGCTTAAATCTTTTTAAGAGATTTTTTTCTCCCCAGGACTTGATCGGGTTGTTACGATCAAATCTCGGAATTATTCTATTGCGAACGTTTAGTGTGTTATGGGTTTATATTGATCTACCGGGGGTTGTAATCTAGCAGCACATTCATCCATCCACGCTTCATTCATACTGAGAAGAGGGTTGACAATATTCCAACTGCCTAAGGGTTCTTAGGCCTGAGAAAAATAGGGTGCAGGAATTCTTCTGATATACTGGAATGAGGCCCTTGTGCCGTACAGACAGGAAACATCACACTCATTGCTGCTCCCAATCATTTGTAAACCCGGATTGGATACCCCCAGGTACCTATAGCTGGCGACCATAAACTCTCCCTGCTTGTCCACCTTTCCTCTCTTCATCATCATTCCCTTGGATCAATCCACTTAAAGCTTTTTCCTTGTTGAGTAGAAAGAACACACCCTTTCGCTGCGAGAGTTATTGACAGCCGCCCCTTTGTCCTACATCCGGCAGGTGGTCATAACTGCTTAACCAGATGTTGGCTTCAGATGTTTCTGAAACCACAGGTTTGTGTGGAGTACGGGTCCACGGGAATCAAACCCGAGAACACCAGTCTGGACACCAATCCAGTTACTGGCTGTGGACAAGTGTGCTTAACTTAAATCTTAAAACATTGATCAATCCCCATATAACAGAGTTGTTTTCAAGGACTGTGTCGTAATTTCATGTGACCTTCCATTTAAAAAGGGTCATGTCCGATTCATAACCTTGCCCTTTAAACCTTTATCTTATCAATCATGTGAAAGGTATCGGCGTATTGTTTCTGTACCAGAATTCACAATTTGAAATAATAAAGTTTAACAGAGAAGTTAATTGATATCTTATACATCCTTGATCGGATAATTTAGAATTGGACATTAAACTTTATAATTTAGAATCGGACATTACCTTTATAATTTAGAATCGGACATTGAAATTAATAATTTAGAATCGGACATTAAACTTTATAATTTAGAATCGGACATTAAACTTTATAATTTAGAATCGGACATTAAACTTTATAATTTAGAATCGGACATTAAAATTTATATTTTTGAATCGGACATTAAACTTTATAATGTAGAATCGGACATTAAACTTTATAATTTAGAATCGGACATTAAACTGTATAATGTAGAATCGGACATTAAACTTATTAATTTAGAATCGGACATTAAACTTTATAATGTAGAATCGGACATTAAAATTTATATTTTAGAATCGGACATTAAACTTTATAATTTAGAATCGGACATTAAACTTTATAATTTAGAATCGGACATTAAACTTTATAATTTAGAATCAAACATTAAACTTTATAATGTAGAATCGGACATTAAACTTTATAATTTAGAATCGGACATTAAACTTTATAATTTAGAATCGGACAATAAACTTTATAATGTATAGAATCGGACATTAAACTTTATAAATAAAGAGTTACTTGTAATTACGTCTCAAGTCACTTTAAACATAAGGAACTATAATAAGTTTTTGTTCCTTTTTTACTTTGTTACTTTCTTCCATTAGTAAGTTCGATGAGTACTTTTAAATTTAGTTCTGAAAGTGGGTGAGGTTTTTTATGTAGTCGGGACTACTTTTAAAATGTTTACTTATTCTGCGATTCAATAAGAAAATAAATCCATTACTTTTAATATTAAAAAATATCTTGTCGTACTTTTTTATAAAGCCTAAAGATAGGGATAGATAGATAGTCTAAAGTACAAAAAATCTCTAAAGTACATAAAATCTAAGATATGGTTTTAGTCTAGATATGGTTGAACAAAATGTCCCAAAACTAAAATATTTTCATTCTGTTTCTTGAATGCATAATCATGAGAAGACCATATTATTTATTAACACTTAAAGGGAAAATTTCACGTACTTTCAGATAAAAAAATCATTCTGAATTTTAAAAATCGTTTACAAAAACTTGTTCTTTTAATTAGCATAGGATCAATTTATCTTCATAACGTATATTCTCTGGAAATCACTGGATGAATCAATTGGTAAGTTCACACAATACAAACCGTCCCGTTTTGCCTTATGAAATCTGTATGTGTACTGCACAGCTTCCTTTAAAGCTGACTATAAGTAAGCCCGGTACTTGAAATGAACCAGAATGTACAGTGTGTAGAAACCCCGATCTTGTTTATTTATATCTTCCAATCTTTTACAATAGAAAATCAAAGTTTTGTAGCAAAGACTCAATTCCTTTGAAGTGTGCAGATTACAACTAAAATATTAAGAAAAAATACAATTGACATGTTTTTTACGTTCGATTGCGAGCTAAAAAAAACTTTAAATAAAATTCCTATTCTAAAATATTGTAAAATCAGGTTTTATTTTAAAACGAAAATTGAGTTAGCTGCATGGTTTGACCAAAATTTGATTCAATTCTATAAAAATAGAAATTTGTAAGAAATACTTAAAAGCTCAATTCTGTTCAGTCTAAAAATAAAAAAAAATTGGACCTTTTTGGTACGGTATATAGTTTTGATACGTGACTCACTTAAACAAAATATCTATATAAAATAAGGCCTCTGAAAGATTTGTATATTTTTAAACAACATGAAAAATAATTGTTTTTAAATTTTTAAATGTTTTTTTAGAAACTAAAGTCACCCTTGAAACCATTGAAGGTACCAAACAAAATCGATCCTTGGAATACTTAGAAATCCACTGTAGATAAAATAATTTATTTTTCATTTCAAAAACAGTTTTATGCATGGCTGGATCCGAACTTGTTCCATTGATACGCTAGAATATCAAAACTTGAGTCGATACATTTCTGACACAGGACTTTTCCAGCTCCTTCGTCATCCACCATACAGTCACACAGCTACAATATTATACAAATAAAAAATAATAAGAATTTAATTTCTTTCAATTTAATAAATTCTAGTCTAGCAGAGCGCTTCTTACCGTGCATTCAAGTATAATATAAACTTTCAATATTTCATTATCTGCAACCTTTTTCATTTTTACATTATGAAGTAAAAATAACAACAAAAAACTCGCTGATTTTTCTAATCTTAAATTTAATTATAAAAAAATTCGACGTGCCACAAAAAATGTACCTTGCCTGTTTTATAAAAAAAATATTTTCAGCCGATTTATCGTTTATTGGATAAAAACAAATAAGCAAGCCAAATGTGGGTTTTTTGCTTGAAAATTGTTTAATCTTTCAAGTCCTACAAAGTTTTTTGTTGTATAAATGCGCAAATCACTAGACTAACCAAAATTGAAGATAATCAGTTTTCAAAATTATAAACATGGATTTATAATCAATACTTCACCAGATAAAGCTTTTCAGGGTACCGTTGTGAATCTGACATTGGCTCAGTAACATTTTGTCTAGTACACTTTCGTCTAAGTTCACTTTTGTCTAGTTCATTTTCGTCTAGTTCTTTTTTGTCTAGTAACATTTGGTCTAAGTAACATTTGGTCTAAGTAACATTTGGTCTAAGTAACTTTTGGTCTGAAAAAAATGTTAAGTGATTTTATCTTTACACTGCAAAAAAAAAAGAAAACCCGTGAAACAAAATCAAGAAATCCGCAATTCGTATAGGAGAAATTCTCCACTCTTCTAAAACACGTTGAACTGCAAGGAACTCAATGGCGGGATTAATTATGATACTCAACCAGTACTTTTGTAGATAAGTACTTCAGACCAAATTCCTTACTAAAATTGCTTATACCAAAAGTTACTTGGACAACATGTTACTTACTCCTTTCTTAAAGTTAGTTAAACCAATTCTGTAGTTTTAGACCAATTTACTTACTAAAAGTTACTTAGACGAAATGTTACTTAGACCAAATGTTACTTAGACCAAATGTTACTTAGACGAAATTTTACTTAGACCAAATGTTACTAGACCAAATGTTATTAGACGAAAGTGTACTAGACGAAATGTTACTGAGCCCTGACATTCTATTCTATACCTGGTGATTAGTTTAACCTACGCCTAAACTCCATTTATAAATAGTATATAAACTACCTGACAGGTTGAAGGAGCTCCTGTTCTAGCAATCTGCCGACCCAGTATTGTTGCTGCTTGCTTCTCCGTGCTTGAGCTGACCAGCAGGTTGGATTGGGAGAATATCAACCCTCCAGAGTTTAAAGAGAGAGCGGATATGTAATCTTTAGGAGTTTTCAGATGGGTTCGGAGAGCTGAATCTCCTGTTCTAGTGCTTAAACTGGAGCTGGTGTACACATAGTTCTTGTCAAACCCAAATATATCATGCATGGCTTTATTCTTGAGACGAAAGCTTGTTGGGGCCAAATAGTGAAGAGTGATATCTTGTTCTTTTAGCATAATCGATGTATCAGCGAATATACGCTTGTCATAGATAGTTTCACAGTTAACTAGAACCATGATCTTGGATACACTTGACCTGACAGTCAGTCTGGCAGCATACTTTATTGCATCAAATGCATTTCCCTCCTCGCCAATAAAATTCAACCTTAACAAAAAAAATCTTGGTGCAACAGGACTTAACCATGGAATAAAGTTGTGACACAGATTCTAAAAACATTTCTTAAAAGTCAAGAAATTTCAAAATGATGGTGACAAAAATGAGAGTTTAAGGGCAAAACAGTCCGTATTACTTGACCAGAAATTCCACCAATGGCAGTGCAGTAAAGTGGTCACGTGATACAGGCGGAGACACGTGACCAGTATACTGCTCTGCCATTGATGATAGTTCTGGTCACGTGATTTAAGTCTCAGATTTTCAAAATTTTACATATATGAACCTTCGTATAATTTTAACACAGTTTTATATCAATTTCTCGAGACAGGAACATCAGATATAACTTTCATGGGTCGCGATCAAGAGCTAAAGTGATTATCTTTCAGCCTTTCATTTTTCCTTTACAGTCCTTTTAAATCAGCAAGATGAGATTTATTAAAAATGTTCTTTTTTACTTTTTTTCAAGTTTTGAGCAATAACATTTTATTTTCTGTTTCAGTCACACGTTCCGCAGTAAATCTCGGGATTCTGACGATGGTAAATATCAGGGGGTTACTTCAAAATCTCATTTTTGCCCTTAACAAAAAAAGTGTCATTAAAAAGCTTTAATTAATACTGCCTTCAGTGTAAATATATCTTTGATATCATTATCTATAATTATACAATATGTATCGTTTCTATGAAAATATAGATATTTTTGGTTTAAAATTGTTTTATATTAACCATTGATCATGAACTTGATTTTTTTAGCAAGTGAATTTAACAAATATGAAAATCACAGGAAACTGGACACTAATTGACAATATGTTCAAATGTCTGAATAACCCATTTAAAACTGTATGTACTCACCCATCAAATGCTGTCTGAATACCAATAGCATCACTGTATACTTGACTCCCAGCTGTAAACACATGAGGACTGGATAGCTCATTGTATCCTCCATATCCTACCAGAGCATACTTGTTATCTTTTATTAGATCCTCTACTAAAGATGATTCTATCAGGGCAACCAGGGATTTAAGTTTCAAAGTTTCTGCACACTTTTTCTGTTCCACAATAAATATAACATCGGCACTTTTTTTGACCGTATTTGTGTATCTGATATTATGTCCACCTCCTATATCAGAGCTTAAGGGAGTCTCACAGTTCACACAATCTAAAGGATGTCCTATATCAACCTTGTTCATTTTGCAGCTCTCAACATAGGCGGCGCTAGCCAAACAAAAGCCTCGGGTTCTCTCTACCTTATTTTTGATCATCTCCATCTCTTTCAGGCATAAACCATAGTATGGTGTTGGGTTGACAATACCAAAGCAAGGTCTAAGACTGCTGTCTTCATTCAAAAACAGGTTGGCACACTTTTCTCTATCCCATGAGTTTAAAGATTCCTCTACTGGGACATAGTCAGCCTGACATTCCTCTTCTAAATTCCAGCTTTCAACAAAGGTGCGTAGGTCAGTAGTATGGTGTCTTGTAGAAAGCATCCAATCATTACTAGGTTCATTATCGTATACTCCTAACAGACCTCCAGTTCTTCCGAAGTACCAACCACTCAGCTTAATTTTACAAATGTTCTGAACGTTGTTACAGTTGATGAAGAAACCTTGCTTGTTGGTTAAGATAACTCTGCTTCCCTCCTGCTTAATGTATGTATTCTCCATGATACGAGGGAGCTCAGTTCTTGTCTTGTTGATGAAAACTCTTCCGTCCCGAAACATTTCTATAGTTGTATTATCAACCAGAATAGTTAGTGACATCCGGACTTGTTTCTTATAGTTTGCAATAATGGAAAACCTATTGTGACCAAAGTCACTAGTCAGTAGATAGCTGCAATTCCCTGCAAAATCATACAACTTCCCATCAAATGTGACCAAATGATTATCTCCAATAAGGGTTGCAGTAGCTAGAAATGGGGGTAAAAAGGTCTGAGTTGCCACCATTGCAGAAAAAGATCTTACGGCATCATTCATACCTAGGTAAAAATCTGTAATGTCAAAATCTGGTGATTTCTTTGATGATGAAAACATTTCAAGGAACTTTGGGACCTCATTAAACTCAAACCATTCAATTGGAAGTGTTTGTGCATGCTTTATATATCCTCTCTCCGGTTCATAGACTAAACTGTAGGTAAACAGATCTCTCTTGTTTGCCATGAGATCAACCAGTCTGAATGCTGTTGCAGTATAAATATTAGCCTGTGTTAACACTGAATCCAGTAGTTTTCTAACATGATAATCTTGAAGAAAGTGGAGCATAACATCTTTACCCAAGTTATACCAGTTAGTGGTAACAGTTACAAAGTAGGCAAAAGGTGGATATTGCATCGCAATTTCGTAAGATTTTTCTGACAGCGTCTTTGCGTTTTGTATCCATCTGGATACAATTTCCTTTACTCTGTCCAGTGCTCTTGTGCTTTCATCTAAGAACCTAAAAAAAGAAATATAAAAGAAAAGTGTTAAAATTAAAACTGTAATTCAAAAATTATATTTTTAAAATACCTGGATAATTTCTCAGCAGTCTCATGCAGATGTTGATTAAAGTTGACATACTCAAGCCAATTTGCCAAATCCTTGTATATATCTGCAATTTCCTTCACTTTCTGAAAGTTGTCCATATACTTTCTAAATGCCTCTAAATATTCCAGAACATCTCTTTGAACCCTAATCACAAACTGGAAAAATGCCTTACTTGATCCTCCTGAGTATTTTCTGAGAAATGTGTCATATCTTTCCAAAAAACTGTCAAGGTAACCCTTTACAATTATGAAACACTTTTCAGCATGCTGCATAATATGTTCTATAACATTATCAATAGATTTCAAATTTCTCATGAGCAGATCTTTCAGTCCCCTAATCTTTATTTTCATTTCTTCAGAAAATTTCTTGAGATTGATAAACAATTGGCTGTGGAAATTCTCAGCTAAAGTCACAATCTTGCCATGAAGTCCAAGGAATGTCTTCAAACAGTTAATACTGAAAAATTTAACCATGTTAGTTACAAAAAATGTTAATAATCATAATATCATAATTAATATTTACTAACCTAACATCAATACCATTCTGAACACTATTGATGATGTATGTGAGTAAGTTAGAGTTGATGTTAGGTCTTCCTGTGAGGAAGGTGTCCATACTGTTTACATGACTTGTCAAGTCAAATCTGATCTGATCACAGTTTATTTTTAACTGGGTCTGAAGAACATCATTCAATACCGATTTGCTGAAGACTTCAAATACCTCAAGGATCTGTGTAACATCAATCTGCAAACTGATTGGAGCTGTCTCGAAGCTGTCTACTGCCCATTTGGCATAAGATTTCAATTCTTTCATCATCTCTTTTCTCCAAACTACAGTTGTGGCCATTTGTTGACCTCCAATCAGATTAATGTTTACATTGACATCCTCTTGATCACCTCCAAGGTAGCTGTGAGCTATCCTGAAAGCAGCATTTGAACTGGATTCTAACCCAGCAAAGAGTGTAACAGTAGTATCTCCTGGCATAAGCATGTTGATATTTGCATTTCCTCTTTGATTGTTGTAATCTTGGGACATGGAAAATTTTTTCATTCTGTTTGAATACAAAGTGAGGCTGCTTGTATGCATTCCCTGCTTAGTTTTCCACTTTCCCTGCAGAGAAATGAATCAGTACTGTACTAAATTTTACTAATTAATCTTACCTCAAGTTCAACTTCATTTTCTGGGGTTGTAATCTCAAATCTTCCGATTTTATTAACCTTGTCCAAGTTCAAAGAAATATCAAACTCATTCTTGTCAGAGCTCCCATGAGCATAGTTGATGTTTGCAAGAACATTTGCTCTTTGTGGTCCATTCTCAAAGTTTCCTTCAACCTGAAATGTTAATATATTAATGTTCTAGAAATTTAAATTTCAGAAGAGCATATCATGTATACCACAGACAGTTTGCAGGCCTGCATAAGCACAGTTAGGTTATATAAATTCAGTGCTCCACTCTTAGTAACAGGAGAGAGGATTCAGCTGAGGAGCACTGTGTTAAATTGACATGGCGGCACTACATCTTAAAAACAAACAAAGAAAATCTCACTAGAAACAAGAAAAACAGAAACATAGAAAGAAGAATCCTGAGAGGTTGGTAACCATGCAATATGATGACGGTTTTTTTACTCTACCAGCTGTGATGCTCTGCCGACTAGGAAGACTGGGCTACTGTCGAAAATGCCACATCCTGGAGCCACAAAGCAAACAACTCCCCATTTTGCATTGCAGTGCAACTCCAATGGGTAATCCTAAAATGCCACAGAAGTCGGAAAGAGTATAAATCTGGGAGAAAACAGGGTTCCTCGATACCCTCCCTTCCTACCTGCTTCTAATTTTCCAGTTCCTATTTGTCACATTCAAAATTTGGAATTGATTTCTCAGTGTATGAATGTTGTTGGATCCATCTTTAAGACTACTAGGTGGAACTAGGATTTTGACACAAAACTAAAAGTACAGAATAAAAGAACTCAAAGCAACAATTACTGAAGCCTTTGTTCCACCTGGCCCCCCTAAAAACCCACCCCCCTGAGCTTAAATCAGCATGATCAACTGTGCAAGCAATAAATTTGCTAATTGAGTCAACAAGATAACTGAAGATACAGCAATACTGAAAAACAGAATGCACTCAAATAATTAAAATGAGCAGAGTGTCCCAATAAATACAAATTTTAATTTTTCTCAAAATTATCAGAATCAGAGACATTCCAACAGAAGGAAAAGAAAAAAAAGGAAGTAGATTTAAACAATCCAGCCACTAATAGAATTTCATAGAGTATTCAAAAGAGTACTCCAAAACAATAGTGTAGATATTTTTTCACTGAATAGCAACCACAAGGAAAATAAAAGAGATGAATAAGTTAAAGGGCACTGGTTCTTTTCATTAACAAAATCTTTTTTACCTTAAAGTTCAGATTCTTGAGAGGATCATCATTTTCTAAATCTATCTGAAGTATGTGCTTGCTGTCAATAAAGCTTCTGATGATTGCAAGTTGCTCTGTATTCTTCAGAACATGATTTGGTTTTCTGATCACAATCTTACTTTCATAATCTTCTCCTTCTTTTTGAATAGTAGATATGCTGTATCCAATACCTCTCTCCTGCTCCCCTGGGATTCCGTAAGCAACTGATCCTTCACTTAGATGAAATTGGGATTCTTTTTCATGTTTTGCTGAACATTTGAAGTGGTAGTATGGAGTAAACAGTATTAATTTATCTTCATATTTCTTATTTGTTGGTGAAATTAGCTGGATTCCTAACCTGTTCAATAATAAGATGGTTTCTTGGGATTTCTGTAACTGAATTGCATAGGAACTTTGGTGCCCAAAGTTTTCTGATAGTAATCTGAAAGTGAATGAATCTTTGTTCAATGGTTTTACAGTTATGATAAGGTTTCCGCCTGATGTTGCCTTTCTGAATATCCAATTGAAAATAACCTTTGATGTTTTACTTTTGGATTTGTCTAGAATTATTTCTGATTCAAGGCCCAAGGTTCCAACCGAAGATCTTGAAAATCCAAAAGAATTGTTGATGTCATAAGTCATGGTTCCAGCAAATTTCATTGGACTGAACACATCATCCAGAAGAATTGTGAATTTGTTGTCTTCTAAACTTTTGCTAATTTTACATTTTGTTGACCCACCAACTATCACTTCCAGATTTACAGAATTCCCCTTTTCAGATGACTCCAGTAAAAATATTTTTTCTGCATTCAAATTTCCAATGTTTATTGTTGTGTCCAGAGTTTTTCTAGATGTGGATGAGTTTGTTCCAATGTGGTTGTATATACTTTCTAAATTGTGTTTATTGATTATAAGCTCAGCTTTCCCCAGATTTAAACTTTTAAAGACTGAAAATAGTGCTTTTTTCTCTTCAAAGCTTCCACCAAATCTAATATTGAAGAACTCATCAAATATTTGATTTGCGATGTCTACTGAAAAATCTGACCAGCCAGGCAAAGGGAAATCTACCTTGAATAGCACTATAAAGTTTTTCAGCTCTTCAAACTTGTAATCCATTTCAATTCCTGTACCAAAAGTTAAACTTTCAATGCTAGCTTTAAGAGTTTTTCTTGTGACAGTGTTGCCAAATCCTAGAGTCAATTTTTGTTTTTTATATCCCTGATGTGGAGTTTCAACATTCAGATTCAATTCATATCCATCGGTCAGTCTAAAATCAATATTTCCTCTATACTTAAGATTGAGTATATCAAGATTCCAGGTGATCCGTTCATCCATGAGATCATCCTGGTTTGCAACTGTGCTGTAAATATTGAACTTGACAGGACCAATGATTGGACTTAAAGCTGTGTAAATAATGCTTTTGTCTTTTTTTACCAGCTTGAAGTTATGGTAGTAGTTTATACCATGAGGCATATCAAGTTTGGCTAGAAAATCAATTTCTTCATTGCTAATTTTCCAAGATACTGAGCCAAAACTCTCTCCTTTAGAAGTGAAGATAGATATTATAACAAAAGCTTCTTTTAAATTTGTCAATAGTGTTTTTGCTGTTTTCAAATGAATTTCACAATATTCAAAGCCCTTGAGAGGAGAGGAAAGAGCAACTTTTGTAGACAAAATTTCATCCTTTAAAGCAGTAACTTGTAGTTCATACTTCTTTGAGTTTATTTCAAAACTTGTCTTCAATTTTTCCTCTTGGTTGACATGTACACAAATATTAAATTTGCCATCTCTGATCTTGAAGGCTGTAAAGTTGAAATATGACTTGATTTCAAAATTATTTACTGTAAAAAATGTTGTAGAGAATGACAAGCTACATATATTGTCTCCATACAGAAGTTTAATTCCACCTTCATAGCTCATGGGCACAGGATTAAAGTAAACTTTAAACTCAATATCTCCAGTAGGGATTAGAGCAGAATGAGTCTTAATATGAAAAGATTTATTTAGTTCACTGTTGACCAGAACTAAAGATGCTACATGCTTAGTAATGTAAACAACATCTAGATTCATCTTGTATTCATCACCCTTTTTCAGACAGGTTCCACCAACAGAGAACTTGTGCGGTTTGGGAAGATATGGTGTTTCCAAATCTAATTTAACCTCTATACCATTTTCTGAAATATCCACAAATCCTGAGAGAAAGTGATCATTGTTCAGTGATATTCTACCTCTGTAAGTATCTGCAGTTGTATCTATAGTAAACCTAGTTGTGGCTGATCCATTCTCCAGGAAAGGACTCTCAAGGTGAACAGTTACATCATAACTATTTCTTTCCTTAACATCGTAAGATACCTTGTGAAGACCATGGGAAGTTGATATCATCAGAACTCCTTGATTATAATCAGAACCAGTTCCAAACTCAAGTTTACCAAATAAAGGAGAATATATGGCTGCCCTAGCTACTCTTCGTTTTGCTTCAGATTTATCTCCCATTTGCATCTTAAATGTAGACAACCTATCAACAATTGAAATTTCAAAAGCTCCTGATGAACCTGTTTTCCAGACAAACTCAGCAGACTTAAAAATTCCAAAACTTGAGAAATCAACATCCACAGAACCAAGAACTTTTCCATTATCAACAGAAAAGGTAACTCCAGCTGTACCTTGACCTTGAATGTCAAGATTAAATGAAACAGATTTCTTGCTTTCATACTCCACATTAATCTTTACTGTTTCTCCACTTGATAAATCAAACTCAAAAAAGTTTCCTAGTGTAGTATGGATAAACTGGTCAATGTTTATTTTGGAATTTGCTTTAAACTTTCCATTCTCAACATCAAATGTGTTTTCCCATTTAGCATCATTAAAGTACAATTTTAATTCTCCTTCCGGGGTTGGTTGTCTAAATTCTCCACCAAACTTGAATGTTCGTTCAAACCCTGGACAAATAATGTCAAGTTTAACATCCAAACTATGGTCTTCTTGTTTGTAGCTAAGTCCACCACCATAGTTTTCTTTATTGACCATGAAATTTGATGAAAACTCAAAATCTTGAAGGCTTTCTGGTTTAAATATACATTCTATGGTGAAATCCTTAGAAATCACTGGGATATCAAGAGCAGCATTCAAAAGGATTATGTTATATTCATCAATTTGCTCAATGCGAAAAGTTGACTCCATTCCAAATATTTTCTGTGGGGCCTGAACTCTTGCTTCTAAAGACATATTGGAAGAACTCATGAACTCTTTTTTAAAATAAATGTCAAAGTCAGGAACAATTTCTTTGAAAGGAGAGTTAATATTAAATTTTCCTTCCAAAATCAGGTCACTAAATTTAAAACCAGTGATAACCTGAATTCTTTGAAGATTTGGAATTTCTACTTTCACAGATATATCCATCCCATTGTCAGGTCGTTTAACATCTAACTCAAATTTCACTTCATCAGTTCCTCTTTGAGCCTTCCAAAAGCCAAATGTTTGTTTTTCATCTCTTGTAAACTTTGCTTCAAAGGTATGGGACACAGAGTTAATGTCACCTGTAGCTTGTACAGTGAACCCATTGGGAATTTCTTGCCAAGTTCCCTTGAATATTATGTTTTTAAAGTTCTCAAATGGAGATTTTAGAGATATTGTAATATTCTTCCCATTGTAGTTTGCTTTCATGCTGAGTTTCTCTGCATTCCATTGAATCACAGTTTGTAAAGCTTTGCCAGCAATATCTATTTTTCCATTAAACTTAATAACATTATCAGAGGACTTTGTTTCAATATCAAAGTTATAGATGGTTTCCTTCCTTTTAAAGTCAGCACTAAAGCTCATCTTGTTAAAAACAGTCATAACCTTAAGATTTCCATTTTGATAATTGCAATCCATTTTCACAGTTTCAAAATTTTCCAAGGGTGACTTAACATCAAAGAAAATGTGACCTTGGGATGAACCAATCTTGATGTTAATTGATTTTTCATTGAGGGATATGAAAAGAGCTCCACTTCTATCTGTCTCACTGTTCACAAATGTCAAGGTTATCTGAACTTCTTTGATCTCTGGAAAAGGACTTGAAAAATTAATATTTAGATCCACGCCATCAGCTCTGTTAAGAAGTTTGATATTTAGCAACAATTCAACAGTTGAGTTGATAACTACCTCATAATGGATTGATTTCTCAGTTGATGTTTGAATATAAGTTGTAGTCTCTGTAAATGTAAAATTGTCTGCTGATAGGTTGACAAATATTTTTTGACCATTCTCAATCTCTGTACTTTTTGCAATCAGAAAAATTTCATTTCCAAAACCCAAAAACTTACCATTCAGATTGAAATGGTTATCAGCTAGCTTGAATTGAAACTCAAGGTTTTTCACAGTTTCAAATGTAGTTTTGTAATCAACTTTTACTTCAGATTCTGAACAATCTATTTCATTCTGAAGTTTAATATTATGATTATCCCAGGATGCCTCCAAGTTATAATTTTGACAGTGCTCTATTTCAGTTTTAAGTGAAATCCTTTTTGCAAATGTTAATGGTGTCAGAAGAATTATATCAAAGTTGTTGTTGTTTCTTTTATAATCTAATGATATGGTTACATCTGTTATTATCAATTCAAATTTTCCTTCTCTTGGTCCCTCTGCAGGCATGTTTCCCTTTCCAAAGAAACTTAGTTTGTTGTAACTTGGGACTGGGAGACTGATAAGCATCCCAATATCAAAACTGTCTGGCTTAACATGATTTCTCAGCTCCAACTCTACAGCCCTGTCATTCAGAACAAAAGTATATTTCATTGTCTTCAACGAGTCTCTTTGGCCAATAATTCTAAATGAGTTTAACCCAAGAGATGGGCAGCTTGCTTCAAGAATCAAATTAGAAGTTTGAACAGACCACAGAATTGAAGATACTACTGATGCATGAATGTCACCATAGGTAAAACTGGTTTCTACATTTTTCTTGGCACTCTGTAAATCAAATGCTACCCTTGATGAAAACTTTTCTGTGAATGGAGTTTCCAAGCTAAGTTCAAAAATAATGTTTACAGGGTTTTTATTTTTGATGTCTCCTTGCACAATCAGTGCCCATTTTCTGCTCTCTGTTTTGTTTTCTACAAGTATATCCAGTATAATGTCAGTTAGGTCTAAATTTGCAGACAATTCTATTTCATTAAAGCCCTTGTAGGCCACAGTAACTGCATATTTTAGAACTGGCATTCTGTCTAAGTGTATGTCAAGACTTTCTTTCATGTATCCAGGAATGTCCAGTTCTATAAAAAATTGACTACATGGTTTAGAATCAAACTTGATTTTAAAACCAATGTATTTTTTCTCTTGATAGTTAAAAATTGCATCCAGACCGTACAATTTAGTTGGACCTTCAGCAACTATCCATTTTGCTCTCCCTTGCAAGTTTTCAAAATTTTCAATATTACTTTTGAATATAGCTTCAGCATTTCCTCCGACTTGTGTCGCTTTAACTTTGAAATTTTTAGAATTCAATTTGCCAGCAACTTCCAGTTTGGTTTCAAAGTCCGATCTTATGATGAGTTTTGCATCAATTTTTCCGGAATGCAAAGGAAAATCTCCTTGATATATCAGTTCTAGCTCACCATTCTGCATATTTACAAGAATTGATGAAAAAACATCAAAAGTTGTGATTCCATCATGGATTGATTTAAACTTTAAGGTTATTGGGGAATCCATTGTCAGACTATAGGCTACACTCATCTCTGTTTCTTCTTTTTTGTGGCTTAGGTAAGGTATATTTGTTTCAGTGATGCTTCTTGAATCAATTTGTTTACTAGATATATTTGTGCTAGTTTTATAATGGTAAAATATATCATTGAGTTCAACTTTTAATTCAGTGTTTTTAGTAGTGTTTACTGCTTCATGAGCTATGAAAATTTTGAAATACTTAATCTTTTCAAAGGAAGTTTTTATTTCCAAGCTTTTTTCGTTTTGTTTCTCAAGACTTAATTCAATGTTGATAAATGTTTTGTTGAGAGCTTCCCACCTGATTTTAATCCGATGATCAACTAAATTATCAAATAAAATGTTTGTGATAACTTCATCATTTCTAATAATTTCTATAAGAATAGGTTTGCCAGATGGAATTTCTAGTTTGGCATCAATTTTCTCATATCCAGGATAAGGAGTCAATATATTCAGTTTAAACAAGCTGTTGTTTTTTCGTTCCACATTCATTTTTGATAATCTACCATCACGCTTTAGTTCTAATGTTATGACAGAGGCCCAATCAGATACCAAGCTTAAATCAACTGATTTCCATCCTTCAAATGGTGTAGTCACACTTACCAGTGTTCTTCCAATGCTTCTTTGTATCTCTCCAGATATCAGATTGACACCAAAACTTTCAAAATTGAATTTTCCATGAAACCCATTTTTAAAGTTTCCATCTACATCATCGTACTGAAGCTTGGCATTGTAATCAATATTGAATTTTGGGTAGACCAGTTTTCCAAAAAGATTTCCAGTTGTTAAATATTCAGAAAAGTCATATTTGAGGCCAAAGGCAAAATCATTGTTATCTCCATGAGTTTCAAAGTTAAAATTTGCTGCTTTTGCATCAGCCTGGTATCCTGCAGCTAACCTAACTCCCTTCCATTCACTGATTGGAGCTTGTAAACTAATTTGCATAACATCATCCTCATTTTTGTATCCAAGTAATACTTCTCTTTTCTTTCTTGGTAATCCAACTGAGTATGTTGCAATAAATTCTGTACTTCCAAACTGTCCAGCGATCTCTATATCATCTGATGGTAAAATAATCTTGATTTTAAATGCTTTTTCAGGTAATGAAATATTTACATCAACTCCATAAGTAACCATGCCTTGAATTAAGGTAGCAGCAAGTTGTTTATTTTTTTCCAGTTTCATATTAAAGTTCATATCTTCTTTCAGAACTCCTAGAATTGAAATTTTTGATGTAACCTCAATTTTTTTCCAGTCAGTAGATATGGTAAAGTCAACATCTAAGGTGAACAATTTATCCTGATTTTTCTCAAACTGAATAAAAACATTTTTGTTAGTAGTGAAAGTTCCACTTAGTTTCATAGATTCAAATCCAACAAAAGGTGTTTTGATGTCAATGGTAGGAATATAACCATCAATGGTGATTTTTACAAATATTTCCTCAGTAACTTCATTTCTCAAGATTGATATTTTGACATCAGGTTCTGCATCTATACTATAAGCAGCTTTAATTATTGCTTCCTCCCAATTATCTAAACTACTTTTGAAATACATTTTTCCATCAAATGTATCATGAGTGGCTTTAAACTTGAGGTCTGAGTCCATATACATTCCATTGTAATTTATTTTTAGAACTATTGCTTTATCTGGAACTTTTCCTAAGTCATAGCTTGTGTTCAGTGAGAAAGTTTTGACATAGTCAAAAAGTGTATTTATTTCAATCTTGAAATCACCAGTCCAAAAGTTAATAAAGTTCCATTCCAAGCTTCCTCTGAAGTAGGTCAAACTATTGTTTTCAAAGTTTATCAGGTATTCTCCGTTCTTCCATGAAACTTGAACACTTGATTTACCGATCTTTGGTATCACAGAAACTACTTCTATTGAAGTGCCATAAAAATTAATTTCAATAGAAGAGAATGTATTATTGAAAGTTGAGCTAACAAAAACTTTAGATTTTTCATTTAAATTTTTATACAAGATCTTGATATCAGTAGTTAGGGTAGATATCTTTCCAGATAAGTTTAATTTCACTTCACTCATATTTGAATCATGTTGTAACAAGGATTCAATATTATGGTGGTTGTACATTCCAGAAAACTTTTTAAGATTTGGTTGAAATGCAGCTGTAACCTTGAATATCTTCAGTTGTGAAAAATTAGAGTTCAGTGCCATTTCAATATCTATGTCTTTAAAAGAATAACGAAATAATGCAGAGTTAGTCACAGAGTCTACGGTAATATCTGATGTAAGTTCAATAGATTCTTGAGAAGATTTGAACACCAGATTTCCTTCTACTTGCTGAAAGCCTGGAACTGAAGTTTGAAGACTAAAGCTGTAAACAGGGTCATTCATTAAAATCTGCAATGCCATTAGATCACCATTAAAATTTCCTTCTACCTCATACTTGGCATCCGTTAGATGGTATGACCCCAAAAAGTTCTTACCAACAATACCAATAAATGGCAGCTCTATGTTCACTTCTGCAGAACCAGTAGTCTCACCAGCCGCAATTACAATCTTGACAGTTTGCGAGTTGTCTGCACTTCCACCAATAATTTCAAGTTCTTTCACCTCCTCATTCAAGTTCATTTTACAGGATACTTCAATTTCTTTCCAACTATGCATTGAACTCTCCAACTTGGCAGCCATACTAGCACCAGAATTAGTAACTTTAAAATCACCTCTTAAGATAATATGGTCTGTTTCCCAGTGTAATTTTATTTCAATGCTTTCCATTGAGTTATCAAATGATGCATCAAAGCCTAAAGATGTGAGGTTTTGAATAGGTGTTGTAATCTTTGAAGAAATTTGAGATTTAGATTGTAATGTTTCTTGTTGAAGACGAACAGAATACAGATCTTCATTAATCCCTATTTTGAATTCTGCATGCTTACTTTCAACTCCAAAGAGATCCATGTCTAAATCAGCTTTTATATCCTGAATTCCAGCTAATTCAGTGCTGAGTTCAAGCTCTCCATTTAATCCATATTCTGTTTTACCACCAATAAATTTCATTAATAGATATCTTTCACCATCAAGATTGAGAGAGAACTTAGAATTAATGTTACTGATTTCTTTTTCACGCCAAACTCCTGTAATTTCCTCTTTTAATTCTACATGACCGTTTAAATCAACTTTAGGAAAGTCAATCAGATTTTTAAAGTCCACATTTGCTATGACATTTATAGATCTTGTGTTTTTCTTTAAACTGACTTGCAAGTCAGCATATGTAAAGGATGGTTGATCAATCTTAATGAGCAATTTGTATCCACTTAAGATTTGAAATTCTCCGCTTACTGTGAGTCTATCAGTGAATGGAGTATTAATTTCTGTCAGGGTAATAAATGAGTCTTCTCCTAATTCTAATTCTGCCTTCAGTTGGAAAACTTCTCTGTTTCTATCTTGAAAGAAAAGGTTTACTGTTTTCTTTTGTTCAGCTAGATCCAAAGATCCGTTTAAATCTACATTACCCCAAGTACCAGTAATGTTTGAAGAAAATATTGTTTTAACCTCTGATTCTGAAGAGAGGTTGCCATGGAAATTTATCAATTTCTCTCCGTAAACACTTTTCATGGAAATTGCATGAGAGTTGAGTGTACTCTCCCTCTCCAGGGTAACAGCTAGAGACTCAGAGAGAATATTTGTTGAAACATTGAGATAGTGTTTGAATTCTTCATTCTTACTCTTAAACTTCATTTCTATTTTTGTTAAGAAAACTTTATATTTCATTTCAGTTTGTAGTGCATATTTTCCATCCGATTCCTTCCACTTTGTAACTATTTTTATATCATTAAATGTTTCATTCGGAGAGTCAATCTCGAGTAAAACTACTGATGACTTGAATTCACCTTTTATTTCTTTCTTTAATTCTGTTTTTATTCTTGTAGTAATAGTACTTCCAGATGCTACATCATAATAAAAAGATGTTTCATTTTTAGAATTTTCAAAGTTTAGAGACATCTTTCTTGACAGAATCTTCATAGCAGAGGTAAATTTGATGTTGTTCCTACTTTCAAACAATGCTTTGAAATTGGTTGCGAACATCTGAATATTCTCATACATAACTTCAGACTGGAAAACTTTCCCATCTAGACCAGTGGAATATTTAAACCAAAAACTGAATGGTTTCAAGCTTTCTATCTCAACTCTGAAATCAGTATTCATGGAAGTTTCTGACTTATCCAATTTTATTGAGCTCATCAATTTAGATCCCTCAGATTCCATTTTTGCCTCTGTACTGATCTTTTCCGGCGAAATCAAATATTGAAACTCTCCATTTATATTTGTGTATTTTCCAAGACTGTGCTCAATTTCAAATTTGATATCATGGTTTGAAGATGTAACTGATCCACTGGCAGTAAGTTTAGCTTTATGAGAATTATTTAAATAGGCCTGTGCAGATACAGTTAAACTGCTTTCTACTAGCTTGACATCATATTGAACTTCAAAGAGTTTAATCTGGCTAAATGAAGATTCAATTTTGTGCTTACCAGAGACATTTTGTAAATCTTTGTTTCCAGAATGCATCAGTTCTAATGCAACAAAATGCTCATTGTATTTGAGGTTAATAATGGTTTGAAGTTGACCAGCTTCTAGACTATGATCAATGTTGACAAGTATATTGTCAAATGGTTTATAGGAAGAGATTGTCTCCAGCTTACCTTCAAACTTATTCAACTGTCTTTTAAAATTTATCTCTCCCATATGATGATACTCATTTAGTTTTAACTCCATCTAAAAACATAATGATTTCATAAATGAAAAAGTAATAATGATGTTAATAAATATTTTACCTTAGATTCAAATATTCTTCCCTCTTGATCATTATCTGACAGAAGCTTAGTGTGAAATCTTACATCTTCCAGAAGATGAAAAGATGATTTCACAGATGCCAATAAGTTGATTTCACTGGAAGAAAGAAGAAATTTTCCCTCTATCTCTCCATTGTACTTGCCCCAATCAATTTTACCCAGTACTGATGAAGGGGTGTAGCTTGCTGTTAGCTTTCCTCCTTTTCCAAGAAAATTTACCTCTGCAATAACACTTCTATTGCTAATTTTGCTTTTAAGAATTAATGATTTAGAGTCGTCCTTATCCTTGTCCCAATAGAACTCTACTGCTAGATCATCATAGGCAGAGGTCATATAGGCTGTAATGTGAATGTGCTTTTCAGCCTTTAGGTTAGCAATTACCATTTTCTCTTCAAAATTATCTTTTAGAACAATCTCCCCAGTGTATTCAACCTGGTTCATTGTTACAACACCGGTTAACTTTTTCTCATCTCCAGGTGTATACATAACCACAGCTCCATACTCTTTTTCTCCAAACTTCCATTTCATATCAGCATTTGACCCACTAGAATCCAGTATAAGATTTCCATTCAAGTTAATACTGTCAAATCCATGGATTTCAGTCAATGACCTAAAGTTATAGTTGATCACATCTGAATTTCCTCTGGCAAAGGAAAATGTAGTTCTGGCCTCCAATCCTTTGTTCCATTGAAAGTATAAGCCTCCATTGTATTCTTTAGCATGGGGAATTGGTTCTGACACATTGAAACCAAGTTTAACTTCACGACCAGGATATGATATACCAGCTCCAGCAGTAAAGCTATATGGAAGAGTAATCTCAGTATGTTGAGAGTACATTTCAATCCAAAAATTCTTAGAAAGTCTTATGCTGGCCTTGTTATAACTCTTGGTCTCCTTTAACTAGAAATATAATTGTAAAAAATTTGTTTTTCAAATTTGTAAAATTATTTTAATTCTTACTTTGTGCTGAAAATCTAGAGCATAGTTGACATCTTCAGTTTTTGAGGATATATTCATCTTAATCACTAACTCTTGTTCCTCCATACTTGCTTGAGCATTTATTTGTTGATATATCTTCCACTCTTTATCCCCCACCTTAATCTCAGCATCATTCTCCAAATAGTTCTCACTGGAGAGGATCTCCCAGCTAATATCAGTGTTTGTATCTGGATACTGGTTTGGCTAAACATTAGAGAGATTGTTTCAAAAACTAATAATACAAAAAATTTGGGATTAGGAACACAACTAAGCCTATATTATTGTTTAAGGATATTTTTGAATTATTAAAACTTAAAGTGGCAATTTTTTATCAAGTTTTTGGGCATACATTCATACTGAACTAGAAAAGCATGTGATTCTTTTAAATGAGGATTCAAGTATAATTTTAATGGTTTGAAAACAATTGATTATCAGAAATGTGTTCGTTTTTTTTTAAATATTGGCTATTTCCAAAGATTTATCCCATTGGCAAATGGAGACACATTGGAGATGGGGCTAGGATATGAGCCCCGCCTTCCCCCATCTCCATTTCACCCTAATTAGAAAATACATCAGGAGTATGTGTTTGATACTGATTCAGCCCTGCATTAACCTTCAAGTCTAATCAGTTTGTCGAGTCAGGCATTCTTGGATAGGCAATAAAACTGAAAACTACAGTAACAATTGAGCAGAGTTGAGCAGAGTTGAGCAGAGTGTTCCATAAATAATGGTTTCGAGAAATTTTTATTTTCTTTCAAAATTATCAGAATCAGAGTTATCATCACAGAAGGAAAAGAAAAAAAGGAAAAAGGAGAAAAATGATGACAAGAAGAAGAATCAATTCAGAATTGTATCCAATTTATCAGATTAAAAATTCAATTTATAATTTGTTAAAAAAATAGATTGGCTGTTTTAATTGTTATGTTTGATATATATTTTATGCCATGTTTCCTTTTTATTTCACAGATTTTAATAAAAAAAATCACACTTTTTCCTGAAACTTGAATTGAATAAATTTAGATATCCAACAGTCTTGTGTTATCATTTGGGAAATTATGTTTTTTGTTGTGATTGTTACTTTTTGTTTGTTATCGATTTAAATTCAAGATTTTTAATCACTCACTACGTTTGTGCTTAAAAGTCTTCAATTTATACCTTAAACAAAAGAAACGAGTAAAAATCCCAGCCTAAAAATATATTGTCCTGCATGATATCACAAGACAGTTTGATAAAACATTTACATTTTGCCTGGCTTAGTTGTGATCCTAAATAAAAAAAATATGATATTATGTGTAATTTAAAATATGTGAAAAATCAAAATTCATAATAAAGAATTTTACTGTTTAAAATAATGCATACCTTGATGGATAATGCCACTTTCTTCTTACTAAGAAGTCCCTGTTGTGAGAAGAAATATTTTCCTTTTACATCAATTGTTCCTGCCTGATAGCCTTTAAAATCATAGTCAACAACAGCATCAGTTTTCAGCTGATTATCTGTAAGCTGAGAGTTACTTTTGAAGTTAACTTTAATATGACTGGATTCTATGGATGATGCAAATTTAATGAACTCATTAACTTTGGAATAGTCTCCCTTTAATTCAACTGGATCATGGAAGTATCCCTTTAAAGTTGCATCTAAGCTTTGTTTGTCTTGCAGTGTGTACATTACTCCCTGCCAGTCGATGATAGATACATCCATGTAAACCATTTTGGTAAAAGCTTCGTACTTTTGTGGATATGAAGCGAACTGGTTGGATATTGTTAGGATTTCAGATCCATCAGATATTAAGGATCCCACGATGATTTTCTTCTGAGTTGCCCACTCGTATCTAAGCTCTAGTCTTGTTTTTCTTAGAGGTAAGTTTAGATCTACAAGGTAGAAATTCCCTTTGTTGTCAAACTTAATCTGGAGATAGGATTTTCTGTTCAATGTAGAACCCGGAGTATCCAGAATAACCTTTAAATCCTCCATTATTCCTTTGTGTGGTCTAGAATTGTCTGTATTCCATGAGTAATCAAAGGTAATTTTGTCAAACTTATCAGTTTTCTTCATAAACAACTCCAAACTGGCTGGACCAGTGAAATACCAAGAAGGGTCAAAGTTATTATTTCCATGAAAATATGTCCCTACTGAACAAAACTCAAGGCCTAAAACATCACTCACCATTTTAGGGGTACAGACGTCCAAAGACTCCTTTTGATGAACTGTTTCTAGTTGCTTAAATCCTCCTGACGTGTAGTAGAAAAACTCTGCAGATGCCTTGATAATCTCAGTTTTATCTGTTGGCAAGTTAACATGAACTTTGGCCAGTCTTCCTTGTTCAATATCTATAAAAATATCAGCATATGCTGAAGAGTGTAGCTTAGTTACTGACTTCAGACCTGTTTTTACAATAAATGCATCAACAGTCATCAATCCAGATATTTCAAGGGTTGCTGTGGGATAAATCTTAGCTTGCATCAATCCTTTACCAGTTTGAAATATAGATTTAAAATCCAGTTTTGTCTCTGTAATCAACCTTACTGTACTTGTACCGTTTACTGTCAGGTTTAGAGGTACTCCAGCAACTGTAGGAACTATAATACAACCATCCAGAAACATACTGGATTTGGAAATATCAACGTTGTTCTCACCCATCTTAAGTCCAAGATAGTTCAGCGGAGATATCAAGTTGTTTCTGAGAGAAGATAGTCCATTGAAGGAATTGTAATATAAATCCTTTCCAAAAAGTCTCATGTACAAGTTTCCTCTTGGTTCTTCTATTCTTGCATCAGGACCAAAAAGTTGTCTTACACCCATTAAGCTGTTCTCATTGATATCTCTCTTAGTTCTGAGACTTTTTACAAATTTATGAATTGTGTCTTCTCTAAAGTATCCTTCAGGTCCAAAAACCTGTTCAACCACATCTTCAAATCCCTCCATTCTTCCCCCAAACTCGACAATATTGATGTTTTCTCCAAATATGTTTGCTGTAAGATTAACCATTCCAGATCTAGGAATATAACTTTTCTCCGAGAATATAATGTTACTGTCAATTGTAGCTCCAACTCTTAAATCATTAGCAAAGTAGGAAAGCTCAAGATTTCTTGAAAACTTTCTAGGATCAGTGTTCCATTTGTTTTTCAACTCTTCATTTCCAACCATATACTTCAGATAAGTTTTCCAATCATCCTTGCTCTTTGTTTCTTGAAGGTTTGTCAAATGTGTCCATATAAATGATCCAACCTGATTAACAGGTTCATCTTTCAGCAAACTTCTGATATTCTCAACAGATGGTTCTGAAGGACAGTCAAAGAGTGCTAAATACGCTCCAATCCTGATTTCTGAATCCTCTTGTCGATCTTTAAATGTTCTGAGAAGACCAAAATCTTGCTGAACAAAGTTGCAAGACATCTTCCTGGTAGCTTCAAGGGCTGCTAGTCTCACCCAGACACTGTTCGATTTTTTTTGGTAGCATTTCCTCAATGAGTTTTCTCCAGAAGAATCAATTATTTGCAAGTTTCGGATTCCTTTCAGAACAAGCACAATCTTATCCTCATCCTCGACAGTAGCTGTAGTACAGGAGTCACCAAGCATAGATTCTAGAATTCTGAGAACTTCATGAACCTCAGGTTGTTCTTTACAGTTTTCTTTGTTAAAACAGAATGTGCTGACAAGGGATGATATTCCTAGGATAGAAGACTGTCTAGGATCATCTAGAAGTGTAGAGAGAGTAGATATCATGGCTCTTGTTGGATTCTTGTAAAAAGCCAAAGATGAAAACCATCCATCAATGGTTTTGGAGGGAAGAACCCCACTCTTTATAACATCCCTCATGAGACTGACTCCTGCGTCGGTTTTCAGGATAGGAAGAGCATCAAGAAAGAAACTTTTAACCCTATCATCCTGGATTTCTCTAAAGGTTTTAATGAGCTGAGAATGCTTGAGATTTCTCAGAGAATAAACAACATTGTTGAACAGGGTTGGAATTTGGGATTCCTGGACTTTTGTAAAACTCTCGAGAAGTTGTTTAACATGATCTTCATCCGCATTCCCATCAGCTCTTTGGTGGTCATGGATGAAACTAAGATCTGTTTTAAACTGAAAATTAGATGATGGTAATTTTTTCTCCTCCTCTCCTAGATGAGTTAGTGTTTGTGTGATTGCGCTTGAAGCTCCATTTTCACCATTACTGAATGGTTTAAAAAGATGTTCCTCAGTGCAGTGAACATTTTCAAGTCTTCCATCAGTCATGGACACTTCACATTCATGAGATGATCTGCAAATAATTCAGAATAGAATCTTCAAATAAACCTATTTAATTAATCTATATTAAGTGATTGGTTTTTTAAAAGCTCATTCAAACATGACCAAAATGAGTTAAATCAAAAGAATTTTTTTTTATGGAATCTCATAAAACTTGATAAGATATAAACTGAACATAAAACATAAAACTTGGCTAGAATCTCATACATTTTGATAAAATATCTTTAAAACAGAAAACATCAATAGAATAGAATAAAGCTTTGATAGACTGCAATCAAACTTTGATCTAAGTTTATAAAATTGAAAGAATCAAGATTAAAACCAAAGCTTAAAATCGAACTACTATTTTGAACCATGTATAAGAATTATCCATCACTTAGATAGGAAAAATTTTCCCTTATAGTGAGATCACACTGATATTTTACGGATTTTTTACAATGCAGGCTTACTTGAGAAGAGGTAGATGCTGTATATTAATATCTGGTAGGTTGAGAGCATATTGATATAGAACCTGGTTCTTAGTACAGCTACTCATATCCTTCACCTTCCTTGATATATTCTAGGTTATAGATATACTCTAGGTTATAGATTTACTCTAGTTTATAGATGTACTTTAGGTAATAGATGTACTCTAATAGATATATTTTAGGTTAGATATATTCTAGGTTATAGATATATTCTAGGTTAGATATTTTCTAGGTCAGATGTATTCTATCACAGATACATTCTAGGTTAATATATTCTGGGTTATAGATATTGTAGGATAGATATATTCTAGGTCAGATATATTCAAGGTTAAATGTATTCTAGGTTAGATATATTTTAGGTTAGATATATTCTAGGTTAGATATATTATATGTTTGATAAATTCTAGGTTATATACATTCTAGGTTAAACGTATTCTAGGTTAGATATATTCTAGGTTAGATGTATTCTAGGTTAGATATATTCTAGGTTATATACATTCTGGGTTAGATATAATCTACGTCAGATATATTCTAGGTTGGATATATTATAGGTTAGATATATTCTAGGTTAGGTTTATTCTAGTTTAGATATATTCTAGGTTAGATATAGTCTAGGTCGGATATATTTTAGGTTAGATATATTTTAGGTTAGATATATTCTAGGTTAGATATATTCTAAGTTGGATATAACCTAGGTTAGATATATTTTAGGTTAGATATTCTAGGTTAGATATATTCTAGGTTAGATATATTCTAGGCTAGATATATTCTGGTTTGCATATATTTTAGGTTAGATTTAATCTAGGTTAGATACATCCGAGGTTAAATATATTCTAGGTCTGATTTATTCTGGGCTGTATATATTCTAGGTTAGTTATATTCTAGTTCAGATTTATTCTAGGTCAGATATTTTCTAGTTTAGATATATGCTAGGATAGATTTATTCTAAAGGTCGGATAAATTCTAGTTCAGATATATTCTAGGTTAGTTATATTCTAGGTCAGATATTTTCTAGTTTAGATATATTCTAGGATAAATATTTTCTATTGGTCGGATAAACTCTAGGTCAGATATATTCTAGGTTAGTTATATTCTAATTCAGATTTATTCTAGGTTAGATATTTTCTAGTTTAGATATATTCTAGGATAGATATTTTCTATTGGTCGGATAAATTCTAGGTCAGATATATTCTAGGTTAGTTATATTCTAGTTCAGATTTATTCTAGGTCAAATATTTTCTAGTTTAGGTATATTCTAGGTTAGATATATTCTAGTTTAGAGATATTATAGGTTAGATATATTCTAGATCAGATATTTTCCAGTTTAGATATATGCTAGGATAGATATATTCTATAGGTCTGATAAATTCTAGGTCAGATATATTCTAGGTTATATACATTCTAGGTTAGATGTATTCTAGGTTAGATTTATTCTAGGTTAGATATATTCTAGGCTAGTTATATTCTAGGTTAGATAATGATATAATATTCATATTTAGATACAATTTATAACTAAAACCTAATGGAATAGGAAGACAACACTAAAGTAATATTAGACGTTTTTGATGTTCTTATATAGCAAATAGTTTTACTAGTAGCTTGATATTAACTTATATAGCAAATAGTTTTACTAGTAAATAGATTATCTCAAACCTGAAGGTTTGCTTGCATACGTTTATGTTGATAATAGATTATACTCAAACCTGAAGGTTTGCTTGCCCCAGTTGACTCCAACCGGTGAATATTCAGTTTCACATTCTCCCACTATATCCTTCTCAACTATACTTTCCCTTAAATAGGATATTATGAAAACTGTCGAAATTATCAAGGTTTGAATTATCTTAGGGGTTAAAAAACCAAGGTTTTAATCCAGTCATATCTTAGAGTACGGTTGAACTTTCAAAGTTTTTATACAGGTTTATCTTTGATTATGGTTGAATTACTAAGGTTTCTATACAGTTTTATCGTAGAGTAACTGAAATTTGTATCCAAGTTACCCAGAGACCAGGGCTGAACTATCAAGGGTTTTGTCAAGGTTTGCCTGAGTTTATGGGTTAGTTAACTAAGGTTCTTTCCAGGTTTACCTGAGATTAGGATTTAATTATCAAATAATCATTATCCGGGCATACCTTGAAACTAGGAATCATTTATCTAGGTTTTATCAAGGTATACCTGAGCGTAGAGTACAGTTTTCAATATTTGTATCCAGGTACACCGAAGGGTATGGTTGGAAACTGTATCCTGCTTTACCTGATAGTAGGTTTAAATTATTAATATTTGTATCCAGGTATACCTGAGAGTAGGGTTGGAAACCGTATCCTGCTTTACCTGATAGTAGGTTTAAATTATAAATATTTGTATCCCGGTATACCTGAGAGTAGGGTTGGAAACCGTATCCTGCTTTACCTGATAGTAGGTTTAAATTATTAATATTTGTATCCTGGTATACCTGAGAGTAGGGTTGGAAACAGATTGTTGAAAGGCTGAGAGTATTCCCTTCTTTATATTGAGAACCCAGATGGGATCGGAGTTACTGTGACACACACTCCGAACCTTCCCCTGCTCAAACCCAAACTCTAGGTTGGATCCTGTTAGTGCCTGCTCCAGGAGCTCGGACTGGGCATTGTCTGGAGATTCCAGGAGCTCAACAGAACTAATCTAGGATTGGAATTATCATGTGTATTCAAATACTAAAATTTTGTATTTAGTAAAAAAATTTAAACTAGGGAACCCATCCATAGGTTCCATAAAAATATGTCAGGCAATTCGGTCCAGCCGTTAGGCCAGATATATACAAATACAAAAACATATATACAAATATACAAATATATACATGATATACATATATATATACATATATATATATATATATATGAATAAAATGTTATAAAATGTTTCAACTGATATATATATACATATATACATATAGTAGAATGTGCATCAGGATGCACGTTTACAGAAAAGCTCTCTCACATGCGAAATGAGTTTCTAAGGACATAATTAGGGTTTGGTGAGGAAAATGAGAAAACATAATCTTTAAAACACTATCAACAACGTTAAAGACATAAAGATCCCAAAAATCAAACTAGATACGTGTAATTTTGTGAATAATTAATTTGCGAAAACAAGTTTTTAAGTTAATTCTATGGAAGGGTTCCGGAACAAGCAGATTAGGCCTCTCCTCCACTCCCAACAGACGCCTTTAAACACAAAACTGCTGTATAACTGTACAGTGAGGAAATCTACTTTATATCTTTCAGTGAAGGAATCTACGACCTTTCAAGATGGCTGTCACAAAATCTGAATTGAGTAAACTAAAAGACTAAATAGTAACCAGCCTCAATGCTGAACTCAAGATTACCATAAAAGAAGAAATCAAAGATGCCATGAGGGAGTTTGAAAACCATATCTTTGGAGAAATTCGCCAGTTGCAAACATCCATCGAAGATCTAGATGCTACTGCTAAAGAGAACAAGGATGAAATTAAATCACTCATGGATCGAACTCAAGCTCTTGAAACACAGAACACCCAGAAGGATGAAAAAAACAAAGAGTTAACAGACAAGATTAACGATACACAACAACAAATCACACAGCGGAAACTTTTTGGGGTTTGAACATATCTACCCTACAGAATATCAGGAATTTTTAATTAATGTTATAAAAGTTGTATTTCCATTCAAAAGAGACCAATTACCCCCAAAAAATTAGACCAAAAAATATCAAAAACGCAAATCTTAGAAACAGAAATGATTTTTATATTCCTAAAGTAAGATCTATTAAAATTGGACTGCTTCCTCCTCACAATTTCCCTAAAATATGGTATGAAAATAAACGACACTTTTCTAAGCTTTCAAATATTAATCTTATTTCGATTTTTAAACAGAATGTCATTGAAGATTTTTATCAGCAGAACAATGTTTGCATAGAATCGAAGAAAGCAAAGACGATTTTACAAGAAAAGTCTGAAAAGATTAAAAAGAGTAAAAGATCGGCGCGAATTAAAAAGATGCTTAAAAATGCTTGTTTTTCGTTGAACCGATAACTTTTTAAAAAAAATTTAACATTACAAATAAATCTATCATTTTTATTTCTAAAAGTTGTTAGTTCATTGTCGAAAAATACTAAAAATCAACCACCAGTTTATATTAAATATAATATAAACAATAAATATGTAACTTTCCTTTTCCTTTCCTTTCCTTTTTTATTTTTTATATTTTTTTTTTAGAATTGGTGGGAAATATTCCCACAACCTCTTTTTTTGAGGTTTTAAAATATTTTCTCCTGAAACACTTAATTTTGTATGGTTTTGTTATTTTTCATAAATAAATAATTACTTACTTACTTACTATATACACATATATATATTATATACTGAAACATATATTTATACATTTAGATACTGAAATACTGAAATATATATATATGGGCGAAGAGCTTTATATTATAGATAGTTCTGCTTTGAAATATGTTCTCTGGAGAATCAAATGTTTCCTGGAAAAGAATTGAGTTCACAAACTCTGATTTTCTGATCACTATATCTTTGGAACCAAATGTTGTAGACCTTAGATATTTCAAACTATGAATTCTGTTAAATTAAATAATCAGAGTTAGAAATATCAAAGGTTTACAACATCGGGTTCTAAAGATATTGGGGTTTAAATATTTGATTTTGTTACAAAGATTAAATTCCTTTATCAAAAAAATAAATTTATTTGATATTTGATCCTTATTTTGTATGATATTTTAGGTTTTCATTCCAGTCAGTACATGGAAACACTGTTATGAAATAATTTATTTTGATATCCAAAATATCATGCAAGGAAACTAGAACTAAAGCAGGAGAAGAACACATTTTAATATATCCAAAATACGAGAAGTAAAAAAGTTTCAGGTGACCAAAATCATAAAAATACAAAAGTACAAAGGTACGAAGTTCTAAGTACCTGGAGTACCAGTTTAAAGATTACTTACAAATATAAACGAAGTACCTGGAGTACAAAGTTACAAGGTGAACTGACTCCAATCTGAATTCTAGACTTGAAACTAAATACAGATTCTTGATCTGAGGTTCCTCTCATACCAGTCACAGACCTCACAGAGTACTCGTAGCTGAAGTACAATATATTCTTCTTATTCCGTTTTAGTATTGAATTAAGCGACTTTTTTACATCTTTAAGAATTTTATCTTAAAGATTAATTTGTTTGCTTTTTATTCAATATTTTGAAATCTTTGGACAATATTTCCACATTTCAGAATAGCAAAAATACCGCGACATATTCTGGCACAGTTAGAAAATGACCGAGATTTATAGTAGTGCAGACACACAAAATGCCGTGATTTATCAATCATGTAAAGACAAATAAATTGCCGTCATTTATCCTTATAAAGATGCAAAAATTGCCGTGATTTTTCTATCGTTGTAAAGATAGAAAAATTACCGTCATTTACTCTAGTAAAGATAGAAAAATTACCGTCATTTACTCTAGTAAAGATAGAAAAATTGCCGTCATTTACTCTAGTAAAGATAGAAAAATTATCGTCATTTATCCTTATAAAGATGCAAAAATTGCCGGGATTTATCGATCATAGTAAAGATAGAAAAATTGCCGTCATTTATCCTAATAAAGATAGAAAAAATGCCGAAATTTATCGATCATAATAAAGATAGATAAATTGCCGTCATTTATCCTAATAAAGATAGAAAAATCGCGCTGGTTTATCGATCATAGTAAAGATAGATAAATTGCCGTCATTTATCCTAATAAAGATAGAAAAATCGCGCTGCTTTATCGATCATAGTATATAGATAGATAAATTGCCGTCATTTATCCTAGTAAAGATAGAAAAATCGCACTGGTTTATCGATCATAGTAAAGATAGATAAATTGCCGTCATTTATCCTAATAAAGATAGAAAATCGCGCTGGTTTATCGATCATAGTAAAGATAGATAAATTGCCTTCATTTATCCTAGTAAAGATAGAAAAATCGCACATGTTTATCGATCATAATAAAGATAGATAAATTGCCGTCATTTATCCTAGTAAAGATAGAAAAATCGCACTGATTTATCGATCATAAAAAAGATAGAAAAATTGCCGTTATTATCATACAGTTAAACTCATTAATATGAATACATCGGAAGAATATTAAAAATGTCGTCCTTATCACATTTCGCTTGATTATGCCACTAAAAGTTATATGAGGTGAGGAAGGCCAACTTTTCAAAAAATATTCTTATGTTGAAGGATTGGACACATAAAATTTTTTTTTTTTTTTTTTGAAAGGACGAGGATTTCGAGGTGGCTATGGAGAATTTGGAGAATTTGGCTCGGACTATGATATATTGTTGTGGTTGGCCTTCCTTCCCTCGTTATATGATATGTTGCGCCCAACTATCTATTGTTTTGGATAACATGTGTCGCGTATTTCAGGGCAATTTATTTATCTTTACAAAAAATAAATGTAGAAAACTTTCATTCCCGATAAAAACTTTAGCACACAATAAAGAAATTTTGATTATGTTTTAGTAATCTATACATATCCCTTGGGAAAATACAAATGACAGCTTAAAATTCAAATTCAAGACGACATTATATAAATTCTTCCGATGTACTCATATTAATGGGTTTATCTGTAAAAAATAAAAAATAGCCGTGATTTATCATATTACATATAAAAAATAGCTGTGATTTATCATATTAAATATAGAAAATTGCCGTGATTTATCATATTAAATATAAAAAAATAGCCGTGATTTATGCTGATGGATTTTTTTTCATGTAAATATGTAAAACCAGTAGTTATTTATTTAGATTAAAGTGCCTTGTAACGTGGACAATAAACAGTTTCATTCATTCATTGCAATTAAATGCAAAAATTGGATTACCAAATTATTGCCCAAAACTAAACAAATTTTAATCCCTATATTTTTGCAACCTAACGGCGTAAGTTTCAAACTTAGATTATGTAATTTAACAGAAATCATAGTTTGAAATATCAAAGGTCTATAACATCGCAGGTTGCAAAAATACATGGATTAGAATATAAGAGTTTTGGGCAAAGGCTCAATTCCTTAAGAACTTAAGATCTAGTCGTGTTAAAAATCATAATTTACAAAACTGTAAGATTTTAACCTGTAAGTAGTTCCTGGTTTATATCTCCAGAAAGAGGACGAAGAGCAGGATTTTAAACAAAAGTTTACATCCACTGTGTCTCCAATTGGACCTGGAGAACAAAATTTGATAAAACACTTTAGTAAATTTATGATTTATACTGACCACTGTTTTTTGGGGGCAGAGACAAAAAAAATCCAAAATTAAATTGTCCAAACAGAAAAATTTAAAAAAGAATGACAAATTAGCACCAAATCATTGCTTTTCCATTTTATTTTTGAGACTAGTTTCTTTTCTTTTTATAGAATTTTATAGAATTTCTACTTTTTGGAGGAATATCTGCAACTTATTTCTACTGAGCTGGGAACTCTTAATCTGCAGATTAATTTAATCTTTATTCGATATCCTATATGGTAATTGTACCCAGTCAGGGATTGCTGGGAGCTTTGATCGCGGGAAGAATAACTAAAAATATATGGAAAGGTATAGTCTTCTATAGATCCTCAAATTAAAAGTGTCCACAGTGGATATGGGGATAAAGCGACTGGGATTATAAGTATTCAACACAATAGCACGAATCTTTTCTTTAAAAAGCTCTAATCCGAATTATTTTAAGTTCAGTAGATTAAAGTTAATTCCTTTAAAATATTTCTAGATTTTTAAACAATGGCTGAAACCTGCAGATATGCTGGGGATGAGAATCAGGATTGTGAATACTAAGGTTGAGAACAATGATGAAGATGATGATGATCTGGTTAAGGATGAGCTCGAGGAGGTCGATGAAGACTTCCTCCAAGGGTTCTGGACCAGAGGTTGAGGTGTCCCTGAGCACGGAGGCCGGGGAGGGGAGGGAGGTTGTCTGTACCTCATACTTCTTCAATCTTAAATGAAAAAAAAGATTATTATTTAAACCTATACAGTGGAAACCATAAAACTGTGGACAGGTAGAACTGAACGGAAATTATAATTTTAATAGTCAAATGAAACACAGCAATTCGCTTTATAAGTTGATTTCAAGCTGTTGGTAAAACAACATACACATGATATTGTTAAAATGTCGTCTTCCGATTCCTCAGTTTTCTGGATCCCACAGTAAATGTTCTAATTTCTTTAGAAAATCTAAATGATGAAAATAAAAAATATTCATGTTGCATCTGCAATGCATTGAATGTGAATAAACATGTTAATTCAGTAAAGATATATTACAAAGTAATTTTTTAAATTATCATTTATTTATAACTCATAGAAATTCAAAATATAACGTAAATAAAGTTTTAAAGGTTTTTCATATCTTTTTTTATGAAAACCTATATTTGCATCTTCAAAGAAAGTACGAGAATATTATGATAAGACGCAAGTCCATACAAATACAACACGCAAAAGCTAAAGATGATTTATAGTAAAATCTAATGTTCATCTGGACTTACTGACAATGACTGACGATTTTCCTAAAATGTAACATATTTTTTTTCAGAGGAATTGCGCATATAAATCCCAATATTCGAACGTATTGCGTAGTTTTTTAGCTCAATTTACTTTCACATTTATTTACACACACTCCAAAAGCAAGAATGCTGCATGGAAAACCTAAAAAGGGGAAAAAAATTTAATTTCTGAAGTTCCGAAAGAAAACAAATTAAATTATATTACTAATACGGTGTAATCCGCGAAATTGCCCACGATTTCGTTGACATTTTTTGTTGCGTTTTTTCTTTCTTTTTAGAAGAATATTTTGAAATATTTGAACTTTATCTTTAACACACAAAAAAACTTTGAAAACCTTAATTAGAAAAAGATAAAAAAAAAAAAGTTATTTCCATTATTTTTGCAATTACGTTGCACGCAATTCAACGAATTTTTAAATGCTTTCTTTGGATCCTGATTTAGGCCCAATTCTACGCAAAACAATGGTGCAAGTGAAAGGCATTGTCGCGCACAATTTCGCGTAATTACGCGAAACGATATTCCATTTGAAAGCCCTGCTTCGATGATGTTTAAGAATATTAAGTCATCACATAAAGGAAAACTCTTCAATTATCAGGTAAAATATTAATATACGATTCACAATGGTACCCTAACAAGGTTTGTCTGATCAAGGATGAAAGAGATAAACGACTTCTCTTTAAAAAAAATTGGCTGAAAGGAATTAAGTTTTTGTTACAAACTCAGATTTTCTAATTCCTATAACTTAGCAACCCGTTTTCCAAGACCTTTGATATTTCAAACTATTAATTTTGATAGATCAAATATTCTAAGTTTGAAATATCAAAGGTTTACACCAACAGTTTGCAAAGATATAGGGATTATAAAATGTAAGTTTGTTGCAAAAACTCAGTTTCTTTGAATATGGTTTAGTTTATAAACTCTCCATTTATAAAAAGAAATATACGAAGTACAAGACTGAATTAGATTTATAATTTCAATTTATAAAATTGTATAGAGATCTATCACATCATTGATTATATCAGGGTACCTTTGTGAATCAGGCATGCAAATATATAGATGGAGGTCACTAGAAATTAAACCTAGAGCCAGTTTAAAGAGGCTGTGTCAAGTTGTCAACTCTCCTAGAGTCTGTTTAAAGAGGCTGTGTCAAGTTGTCAACTCTCTAGAGTCTGTTTAAAGAGGCTGTGTCAAGTTGTCAACTCTCCTAGAGTCTGTTTAAAGAGGCTGTGTCAAGTTGTCAACTCTCTAGAGTCTGTTTAAAGAGGCTGTGTCAAGTTGTCAACTCTCTAGAGTCTGTTTAAAGAGGCTGTGTCAAGTTGTCAACTCACTAGAGTCTGTTTAAAGAGGCTGTGTCAAGTTGTCAACTCTCTAGAGTCTGTTTAAAGAGGCTGGGTCAAGTTGTCAACTCTCTAGAGTCTGTTTAAAGAGGCTGTGTCAAGTTGTCAACTTTCTAGAGTCTGTTTAAAGAGGTTGTGTCAAGTTGTCAACTCTCTAGAGTCTGTTTAAAGAGGCTGTGTCAAGTTGTCAACTCTCCAAATATTAAATGAAATATACGATTTACAACATTATCCTCAAAAGCTTTATCTAATCAAGAATGAATGAAATATCCATATTTTTCTCTCGGAAAATAGATTATTACAACAGTAAATTTCTGTGTTCTGATGCAAAAATAATGGATTAAATTGTCGATTCGATTGAAGCTAAAAAACGACGGTATTTTCTAAATCTAGGGGGGGGGGGGTCACTAGAAATAACAATAAATCAAAAATACAAGAAAAATAAATTTAACTTTCAAAAAAGAAAACTTATTATTTATAAACCTGAATATATATTGAGTATTCTGGACTGAAGAGAGATATGTTGGATCGACGAAGACTGAAGAGGAAAAGACACATGTGATCATATACATCAACATTTAAACAAGATCCAGCTAGCACCAGGGGGAGGGGGGAGGTCTGCACAACTAGCTGAGATTTTGAAACAACCGGAGTTTCCTGCAAAAACACTGTTTTTGCAAGAATTTGGCATTTTGTTGCTAAACGGAAAAATTGAAAGTTGGAAGGGTACAAATCTATATATAAATTTGGCTTGTCTGTCTGTTTGTTTGTTTGTCTGTTTGTATCCAATAAACGTCAAAACGACTGAACCGATCGGGCCCAAATTTTTTGTGGGACATCACGTGACCACAGGGAAGGTTTATGAATGATCAAAATTTCAAATATTTGTCTCCATCCAAATTCGATCTTCATTAAATTTTTGAAAATTTTGAAAATCCGCGAAATTTGTTGTGAAAATCCGCGAATTATTTTTGTTTTGTTTTACGATGTACACAAAGAGAACATGTTCACAATTAATTTAGAAGATGGGCGCGAAGCGCCCTCTAAGGCTAGTATTTATAAATAGTTTTGAAGTCAGATTCCAGAACATGATATTCACTGCATAGAGTATAGAGTATAGACGTATGTTTTAGTGCTTTGGGAATAACGAGAGGTTATCTAATCTTAAAAATTAGTTATCAGTAGATACTTTAGGAAGAGAGGCTATCTATTCTTAAAAATTAGTTATAAGTATTTACTTTAGGAAGAGAGGTTATCCATTCTCAAAAATTGATCATCCGTATATACTTTAGGCAGAGAGGTTATCTATTCTTAAAAATAAGTTATCCGTAGATACTTTAAGAAGAGAGGTTATTTATTCTCAAAAATTAGTTATAAGTATATACTTTAGTAAGAGAGGTTATCTATTCTTAAAAATTAGTTATCAGTTGATACTTTAGGAAGAGAGGTTATCTTTTCTTAAAAATTAGTCATTCGTAGATACTTTAGGAAGAGAGGTTATCTATTCTTAAAAATTAGTTATCAGTTGATACTTTAGGAAGAGAGGTTATCTTTTCTTAAAAATTAGTCATTCGTAGATACATTAGTAAGAGAGGTTATCTATTCTTAAAAATTAGTTATCAGTAGATACTTTAGGAAGAAAGGTTATTTATTCTTAAAAATTATTCATTCGTAGATAGAAGAGAGGTTATCTATTCTTAAAATTAGTTATCAGTTGATACTTTAGGAAGAGAGGTAATCTATTCTTAAAAATTAGTTATCAGTTGATACTTTAGGAAGAGAGGTAATCTATTCTTAAAAATTAGTTATCCGTATATACTTTAGGAAGAGAGGTTATCTATTCTTAAAAATTGATCATCTGTGGATACTTTAATGCAGATGCACTTCAAATTGGGTTCAATTTTAGCGTCAGTGTTTAGTGCTATTACAGTCGGCGTTTATATAAATACAATTGAAACGAATTTTCTATTTTAAGCAATTGAAAATATCATGTTTGATTATTTTGTTTTGATCGGTATTTGTTGAAACAAATTATGCATATTGAAATCTCAACTAAATATACATTCATTATGCATTTACAAGTAGATAATTAGTCAGCACTCAAATAATCAAAACTTTTTCAGGAATGCATTCATTGAACTTATAAATATTTAATACATATTGATTCAGCAAAAGGCAATGTATTCTAGTTGACTGTAGTAGACTTTGACATCTACCATTAGCAAAGGGTGTGAACCCATACTCGTTGACTGTAGTAGACTTTGACATCTACCATTAGGAAAGGGTGTGAACCCATTGTCATTGACTGTAGTAGACTTTGACATCCACCATTAGGAAAGGGAGTGAATCCATACTCGTTGACTATAGCAGACTTTGCCATCTACCATTATCAAAGGGTGTAAACCAATTCTAGTTAACTGTAGTAGACTTTGACATCTACCATTAGCAAAGGGTGTGAACCCATTGTCATTGACTGTAGTAGACTTTGACATCTACCATTAGCACAGGGAGTGAATCCATACTCGTTGACTATAGCAGACTTTGACATCTACCATTATCAAAGGGTGTGAACCAATTCTAGTTGACTGTAGTAGACTTTGACATCCACCATTAGCAAAGGGAGTGAATCCATACAGGTTGACTGTATAAAGGTAATATATGCGACAACGACAAACTTTCCAACTTGTTCTGGCGCCAAAGACAGAAAGTTTGTTTATGTCCGCTTCTCTGAAATATATAATACTATAGCTTCGGAATGCAACTGTACCGGGAAATTAAACTTTCTCTTTAAAATTTAACTTACCACACTTAGGAATTTTAAAGCAAGCCAGGAACATTACTTTCCGTGTTTCTACCTTTTTCCCCGATCAAAATTTGAGGAAAATCGGTCGATATTATGATTATGATCTGACAAACAAACAAAGATAAATAAAATCTATATAATAAAACAAGGCATTCGTATATATATATATATGTTCTCTCTGTCCGGCCAAAAGGCTGGACGGAATGGGCTGAAATTTTTTGTGGACACTCATGGGTAGTCTGGGGGGGACATAGGCTAAAAAAATTATTTTTTTCCACGGGCAACGCCGGGTCCTTCAGCTAGTACTTTATATATACTTTTTATAATAATTGATAAAAAAGCTTAAAGATCATATAAACTAAGATTAAAATGAACACAATAGAAATCTTTGATAATTTCATTTATTGTATAAACTGTGATAAAATAAATATAAATAGATATAGATACAGTAGTAATCTCTGGTTGTCTTTCAAGTTGAGTTCCCAGGCAAACCTGGTTTCCATAGCTAACACATCTAGCTATAAATATAAAGTAGTAATCTCTGTTTGTTTGTTTGTATGTGAGATCATAACTAATGAACCTTTCGACCAATTTGCCTCAGGGGAACTCGATAGAACCACAAGAATGTTTTTAGATTTGTTAAAACGTTACGTGGGTTAGTCAACCAACGTTGAGTGGGTTGACTTTTTCTATTAACACAAAAACAATCTTTCTCTTCAGATTAAAAAAGGATTGATTAATGCTTCAAAATGCATACAACTTTTTATTTAAAAATAATTGCAATAAATCGCTTGCATGCATTTTTATTAAAAAAAATCAGAAGATTAACATGCTCTTTTAAACATATTGATTTGTAAAATTTCCCTAATGGATAAATAATAAATATGAGCAATCATCACAACATATGCTTATACATAGGGTATAGTTATATAAGTGAACTGATAGTATGCTTCCAATATTTGTCGTGAAGACGAGAAAATTGTATACAACAAACAAAAATAAATTTCTTAAAAAAATTTTTTAAATATATTAGTATATAATACATCAAAAAATTATTAACACTAAATAATCTAATATTTCCTTAAAATGAAGAAAAATATAGACACGGTCAAAGAAATGAAAATATAAAAAACATCTATATATATGTAATTTCTTTTTATGTAATCCAACTGTACACACTGTCCGCCTAGTAACTTGGAGACTAGAATATAACGTTTTTATACACTTCTACACAATCTAGGAACAAAGTTCAAGGTCTACTCATTAAATACTTTGCATTTAACAATTATACCAAAGTTCATTATGATGACTTATATTTAATGAAATTAATTAGTTTTTTTAGAAGAAAAATATGTATCCTCACTAGATGGAGATCAATGGTCGATCACAAGCTTTACAAAAAAAATATGTCTACGTGGTTTAGCTACTTCTTGGTATTTATAAAATTTAGAATTTTCTTGAATAATTTTAGCTTTTCTCTAAATAATAAAGCTCATCGCTCATATATGTGTTTGTTCACTTTAGCTAGCCAAATGGCTGAACCACTTTGGTTTTTGATGGAAACCATGGTTAAATACATTTTAAGGCAAAAAGTTCGAATTCTTATGCATCTTGTCTTTGTACGGGGCACTACACTACTTTTAAATGTAACAAAAGTTCTACAGTAAACTAATAAGTTGTTTAGGAATAGATTGAGAAAATAAAATTAAATCCTAACATAGAAAATAACTAATCGTATTTAGTTATTAGTTTCTGTAATGTCTCATTAAGTTCACAAAACTTTTCTGTAGATTTCCTGCAATTTTTATTGAAAAGACGACATTTGAAAAATTTAAATAAATCTGCGAACAAATGTGAAAAGAATAAGAAATTTAATATAATGATTAAAAGGAAATAATTGATTCTATCATTGATTTTTTGACAAATTTCTATTGAGAAATATGTTCCTAAACATCTAATTTCAATACGTTTTCGTTACATTTTTCGTTATTGTTATTGAATAATCAAAAATAACAGATACTCAAAATCATCTCTCCAGAATAGACAATTTGAAGGATGATTTTAAAATTGAATTTGCACTCTTGCTAAACAAATATGCACCGTAAAAACGTCTCAAATGAAACTGAGTCTTTGCCAAAAACTCATATGTTCTAATCACTCAATCCTTGTAACCTAATGGTGAAAACATTTGATATTTCAAACTTAAATTAGTTGATTGAACAGAATTCATAGTATAAAATATCTAAAGTCTACGACATAAGGTTGCAAAGATATAAGGATTATAAAATACGAGTTTGTGGCAAAGACTCAATTACTTTGTAAGATATCAGAAGTTCATTATGTTTTACAAAATGTCAAGAGTTACTTCTAACATTTTTCCGCAAAATATTTTTAATCAAGATTTCTCTTTCGCTTTGAAATTATATAACAATTTCAATAAAACTCTCATTGACGTTGCCTTAACTGTGTCTCTTATCATCCGACTCTGAAGTTCGAATATGGGTATCACGATTTATTTTTTTTCAAAATATCAAAGTAGGTTTTTTGATTTGTCGAAATATAAAAGTAGGAATTTACAAACCTTTATCTTCCCAAGCTTTTATTGGTTTAATCTCAAGACTGAAATCCCAAGGTGGATAAAACTATAAAAACTGAATCAATGAATTTATTCCTTTATAATCCAGAGTATGGTATTTTATTTTCAACTATTGAGTATAAAAACTCAAGAAAACTATTCAACACAATAAATACAAACAACATAGACAATCAACTAAATACACTTCAATTTAATTTTTTACTATAAACAAATAAAAAAACGGTGTCTCTCCTCCCTGCAGAATAATAAAAGTTTCTGTGGTTAGAAAACCTCAAGAATTTATTCAAGACATGGTTTTACATTTTTCACTGTGATCCTTTTTACTGAGTCCAATTGTGTGCCTAAGAACAAGTACCATGTGTACTTAAGCTGGCGCTGCGGCTGGGACTCCTGGGACTGCTGCTACTGGGACTCCTACTGCTACTGGAGCTGCAGGAGCTGCTGGAATTCCTGGAGCAGCTGGAGCACCTGCTGCTTCAGGGACTGCTGGAGCTGCTGCAAGTGCAGGAGTTGCTGCAGCGTCTTGAACTCCCGGGACTACTGGAGCAACAGGAAGGGAAGGATCTTCTAAAGGTGCTGGAGGAGATGCTGCTGCATGCTTAGGTTGGTATCCTGAAGGACAGGTGCATGTTCCCATAATCTCATCTGCACGTAAAACTGGTGCGGTGGAGGTAACAGCTGGAACTGCAGCAACTGTAGCTGCAGCAGGATCTACTGCTACAACAGCTGCTGGAGCAGTAGCTGGATCTACCGCTACAGCTGCTGCTGGATCTACCGCTACTGCAGCTGCTTGGTTTGTGACTACAGCAGCTGCTGGATCTGTTGCTGGAGCAGCTTGTAATCCAGTGACAGGATCAATAGCTGCTACTCCAGCTGGTGCTGCTGCTACTGGTACAGCAGGATATGCTGGTACTGCTGCTTGTCTTTTCCTTCTGGACATTACAGAAACATTTGCTACTGCTGGAGCAGCAGATTGATTAGATGGTAACTGTATTGGAGGGAGAACTGGGGTTGCTGCTACTCCGGGCATAGGTGGGAGCACTACAGCAGCAGACTCATTACTCACTCCTGGAGCGGCAACTGATGCACTAGACACACAAATACAATATCCTGCTGCTGATGCAGTTTCAGGAGCAGTGATACTGCTTACAGCTGGAGCTGCTGCTCCATCTACGACTGCTGTTTGATTAATCTGAACAGCGGGATCTCCGACAGGAACAGCTCCTGAAGCATTAACTAGTGGAACAGGATCAGCAGCGTAATATATAGGATCGGATTTAACTAAAGCCAAGGCAAAGATGAATATAATGCTCTTGGGTTCCATGTTGACTACTGATCTATGCTGATCCTTGTCCTATATATAGGAGAGGGTCCGACCACCGCTAGTTTAAGGGTCTCAGTGAGTGTAACAAGATACCTTCTTTCACCAGCTCAGATCGGTTTGAAATTCGACGCAGAAGATAAATAATTAATTTTCCATTGTTCTGATCTACAGTTTTTCTTTCATCTTCTTCATGCTGCAGTTTGCGCATAGATTTGGATGAATATATGGGGTCAGTTTTAGACTTTTCTGGAACTTTTAGTCTTAACCCTGGACTGGCTGGACAAGGGCTGACCGGGGAGGGGGGGTCGATAAATTTCTAATTTCACAAGCAAGTTTTGTTTTGTCCTTGTTGTTTCATGACTATGATGTCTGTATTTCTATATGTTGGGTATTTTGTCCAATGTATATGTTGTCCATGTTGTCCAAATTTTCCAAATTTTTCATACTGTCTATCTTGTCCATATAAACCAGATTGTCCATATTATCCATGCTGTCCTTATTGTTCATATTGTCCAAATTGTCTATATTGTCCATATTGACTATGCTGTCTACTGTCCATATTGTCCATATTGTCCAAATTGTTTATATTGTCCATATTAGCTATGCTGTCTACTGTCCATATTGTCCATATTGTCCAAATTGTTTATATTGTCCATATTAGCTATGCTGTCTACTGTCCATATTGTCCATATTGTCCAAATTGTTTATATTGTCCATATTAGCTATGCTGTCTACTGTCCATATTGTTCATATTGTCCAAATTGTCTGTATTGTCCATAATAACTATGTTGTCTACTGTCCATATTGTCCATATTGTCCAAATTGTTTATATTGTCCATATTAGCTATGCTGTCTATATTGTCTATATTATCTAAGTCACATTGTATGTTCTCCATGTCTTGTCTCATGTTGGATCTTTTACAGGAGCATAGAGCAAAAATGTTAGCCTATACCCGGGACCCCCCCCCCCCTAACTAGTATTAGATCAATGCAGTCGGAGAAAACTAAAGGTAAGAGGGACAGGGTTTGTGAACACATTTTAAGGACCGCTAAGAACCATATCAACAATAAAAAATATGATCAATTGTAAACAAAGATCGAAAAAGGCAGGCTTGTTTGCCAACGGTCGTAATACGTCACAATAAAATGTACACGAGCCCCGTCCCCCACACCTTATACATATATCTCTTTTGGACCCATGTGCTGGCTATAGTTCTGATTTTGATGAATTCTGAAGTATGATTTATTGATTTTCTTTCGTCATGTCTGTGGCAGGTTAGAATTAACTTGAGATTTTATATTCCCAAATATCTTTCGTAATGCGTCATTTATGATATCCGTCGTTAATATTAATCAAGACGCCCAGCTTCAACCCACTTCACGCAGGATACTTATGCTTCACACTCATGCTTATGTGCATACTCCGTCCTCAACTTTATGCTCGAGGTTTAGGGAGGGGGTAGAGAGGGTTTAAAGGAGGTTTTAGAGAGGGTGATAGAGAAGGTTTAGAGAGGGTGATAGAGAAGGTGTGGAGAGGTGAGTAGAGAGGGTTTAGAGACAGGGAAAGAGAGAGGAGTAAAGAGGGTTTTGAGGGAGGGGTAGAGAGAGTTTAGAGAAAGTTTAGAGAGGGGGTAGAAAGGAGCTAGTGAGGGTTGAGAGAGAGGGGTAAGTAGGGTTAAGAGCGAGTTTAGAGAGGGGTAGAGAGGAGCTAGTGAGGGTTTAGAGAGAGGGGTAGATAGTTTAGAGAAAGGTAGAGAGGGGCAAGAGAGGGTTTAGAGAGAGGGGTCTGAAAAAGTTTTTCTGAAAAAGTTTTTCTCTGAACCAGAACAGCCCCACAAAAGAATAAACTAATGCTTAGGAATTCTAATACTATTATCAACAGAGAAAGTTTAGAGAGAGGGGTAGAGAGAGTTTAGAGAGAGGGGTATAGGGGGTTTAGAGAGAGGTGTAGACAGAATTTAGAGAGAGTTTAGAGAGAGGGTTAAAGAAAGTTAAAAGGAGTGTTCGCGAAAAATGAGAGGGGGATAAAAAAGCGCTTTTGATCGCTACTAATCTTACTTCTATCTGTTGCGTCTATAAGAAGAAAATTGTTAAAGACGTCTCATACCGAATAACTAGCGTCCATACAAATTGAGAAAATTGCAACATACGACTTAGACCGTAAAAAAATCAATTTCATTTCAAACAAATCATTCAGATAATACAACCTATAGTCATCGATTATCTTTCGCCACATTTGTATATAGTTAATTTTTCATAATATTTTTTACTTCTTTTATATACAATGCACGCTAGGTATCTCTCTTACGTGGAATCATTAGAGCATCGGAAGCAGAGACACCTGGCGGACAAACTAATCAGCGTTTTAAGTGCTTTGTATTTATAAAACAGATACAAAATATTATGAAATATCAATTGTATGCGAATGCATCGAAAAATAATCGATTACTAAAGGTAGTAATATCTAAATAATTTGTTTGATATTAAATTGATTTTTTTACGATCCAAGTCGTGGATTACAATTTTCTCAATTTGGGAGAATGCTAAGTTATTCGGTACAAGTCGTTTTTAACAATTTTCTCCTTATAGACAAAACAGATAAAAATAAGATTAGTAGCGATCAAAAGCGCTTCTTTTTCGCCGTATACCTATACCCCCTTTAATTTTTCGCGAACACTCCCTTTAAGAGAAAGGGTTAGAGAGAGTTTAGAGAGAGGGGTACAGGTATAGCAGGTTTAGAGAAAAGGGTGGAGAGTTTAGAGAGGACGCAGAGAGAGTTTAGAGAGATGGGTACAGGTAAAGCAGGTTTAGAGAAAAGGGTGGAGAGTTTAGAGAGGACGCAGAGAGAGTTTAGAGAGATGGGTACAGGTAAAGCAGGTTTAGAGAAAAGGGTGGAGAGTTTAGAGAGGACGTAGAGAGAGTTTAGAGAGATGGGTACAGGTATAGTAGGTTTAGAGAAAAGGGTGGAGAGTTTAGAGAGGATGTAGAGAGAGTTTAGAGAGGATGTAGAGAGAGTTTAGAGAGGATGTAGAGAGAGTTTAGAGAGGACGTAGAGAGAGTTTAGAGAGGATGTAGAGAGGGTTTAGAGAGGGGATTACATATGGGGTGTAAAGAGGGATACAGCGTGATAGAGAATTTTAACAAGAATTTTAAAGTTTTTAATAGAATCTATTCAGAAAGAAATCAAAATGATTATTGTTCCATACAAGAAACAATTCTATTGAGAATCTGTCAACTGAAAATTGTATAGAACTTATTAAACAAGAACATTTTAATTGAGTTTGAGAGTAGAAATTTATTTATCGTTTCACAGGATCAATAGATTAAATGCACTGCTGCACCTTCCGTATTTTCATTAATCTTAAACTTTTTTTCATTTTTGCCATTTAAAGTTAAAATATTTTTTATTTTTTATTTTTATTTCTCAAGAAATATATATAATTTTACATTTTACATAACAGAGAAAAAAATCGTACATATATTTCATATATTAACTATATCTTAGGATGTTATAACAAGGATGGGATGAGAATACAAGGATGGGATGAGAATACAAGGATGGGATGAGAATAAAAGGATGGGATGAGAATTCAAGGATGAGAATAAAAAGGATGAGTTTAGCGATCTAGTAATAATGAAAAACGATTCAAGATAACTGAACTATATTATTATCGAAGGTACAAAGTTCGTAATCAAAAAATACATCTAGTGAACCAGCAAAACTCCCTCTCAGCTGGATAGCTGCAGCGTAGGTTTCAGAGAGCAGAGAGGAGAGAGGACGACATTCATATCCACCACAGGATTCCCCCCATAAGGAACGGCGGAGTAATGGCGGAGCAGATCCTTCTATCTCTGGAGGACCTGTAGGGATTACGACGGTACAGGTGGCGGAGGAACTTGTGAAACAACTCTCTTGTGTCTACTTAAATTGCCGGCGGAGGAAGGCGGAGGATATGAAGAAGGCACCACGGGACAGTGGGGAGGTCTTTCTCGAGGCGGAGAAAGTACAGGCGGGTAAAATGCATCCATCTGCCGGTGCTTTAGTTTCCCGACTAAGAGCAGGGAGCCTGACATCTGAGGGCCTTGGAGCCAAACTTGGCATAATACCATCAGAAAGAGGGTGAAACTGATCGGTGGTAAGGTGCAGCTGGTGTCTGAGAACGGCGGGGTAGAGGAATAGGAGTACATTGAGAACGTTGAGATCGGTGAAGCTGCTTGTGAGGGGGAGCATTAACAGCAAAACAGCTTTGATCCACGGAGTCCACGGAATTAACAGAAGAACTGGAAGTTAAACTACTCTGGTAAATCTCATCAGCATGTTGAGACAAAACTGGGATATCTCCAGTCTCGTCATGCACCAGGTGCAACCTGACATCTGTTGGGAGCTGTCTCTGGAACGCATAACGTAGGAAAAGGCACTCCTGGTGATCTATTAGAACAGCAAAGCTGAGGGCAACATGTCCCCTGATATAGGAAGTGTCATGATGGATTCACAACGAGCCTAATCTGTCAGAGAGTGCATCTGGAGAAGACTAGCCTTGAGGATCAGCAGCAGGTGGATTCCTGACGATATCCACAGCATTGTCAATCTCCTTTTGTGGTAAACCAGCAATAACATGGTGGTACCTGGTGTGACTGGCGGTGATGTTCTTCAGGTGGAACTTTCCGTCCAGAACACAGGAAGCTTCATGGCGACGACATTGAGATGTTGAGTGGAGACGGCAAGCTGGTCTGCAACATCAGTGGTCAAACCTGGATTTCCAGGCATCGTGCTTCCTGAAACTAAAATTTGTCGAACTAACAACCTTGCTTACTGTGAGAGCCCGTGGAAACAACAGGGAGGCAGGTTCACTTTCCAGCCAAAGTGTAGTGAAAGAAAAATACAAACCCAAAATCACTGAGTTTAAAATGTATCTATGCAACTCGGTCTGTTGCTTAACTGTTTTAGAACTAATGAAACAAAAATGCGTTTTGAAAGTTGAGGGTCACTAATTTAGCGATCGAGTACTAATGAAAAACTGAACTATATTATTACCTAAGGTACAAAGTTCTTAATCAAAAAATTTATCTCGTGGACCAGCAATACAAGGATGGGATGAGAATACAAGGATGAGATGAGCATGCAAGGATGGGATGAGAATACAAGGATGGGATAAGAATACAAGGATGCGCATGCAAGGATGGGATACAAATATGGGATGAGAATACAAGGATGAGAATCCAAGGATGGGATGAGAATACAAAGAAGGGATGAGAATACAAAGAAGGTATTGGAATAAAAGGATGGGATGAGAACACAAGGATAAGAATATAAGGATGGGATGAAAATACAAGGATGAGATGAGAATACAAGGATGAGATGAGAACACAAGGGTATACAAGGATGAAAATACAAGGATAAGAATACAAAGAAGAGAATACAAGGATGGGATGAAATTACAAGAATGGGATGAAAATACAAGAATTAGAATACAAGGATAAGGATACAAGGATGGGATGAGAGTGCAAGGATGGGATGAAAATACAAGATGAGAGTACAAGGATTGGATGAGAGTACAAGGATTGGATGAGAGTACAATGATAGGATAAGAATACAAGTATACAGCTAGATAATAGTTTAGCCAGTATTAAAAACTCTCAAGGAATGATCCGTATCTAGAGTTTTTGCGGAATCAGCCTTTCCTTCCGTCAAGGTCGAGTTGCTCCGGAACTTCGGGGGATCGCGTAGACCCGGCTAGTCCGCGGGTCAGTCTATACTCCTGTTCTATGGGTCAGTCTGCACACATGATCCATGATTCCAATGTGTCCGCTCTCCGTCCTAACTAAGGAAATCTATTCTCTTTTCTTGACCCCATGATGAAAGTGAAATCTGAACCTGATCAAACTAAGCATTTAGTGTAATGTTCTAACTTTTGTTTGAGACAATTCTTTCTTTTGTTGGGTTTACCAATTTTTCACCAGGATTAGTAATAATGTATACTAAAAGTTTCTTTCTATTCATTAATGTTTTTTTTAGAACTCTAATGAATTTCAAAGTATTTTATCGAATTATTGAAGAAAACTGTATTTTGTTGATTGCATGAGAAAAAAAAATCTTAATAATACATAATGATAATATTTACAGAATGTCAAACTCTTTTTCAACCTTTTTTGAAATAATTAGTTTTCTTTGAAGAAATCCATGAGTTCTAAATATATGAAATATACCACAGAGACATTTTTACAGAAGAAGTTCAAATCAGTGGAATTTTTTTCCATTTCATTAGATTTTGATCTAAAATATATCGGTCAATTTTCTTTTCTAAGGAATTGAAAATATGCGATTTATTTTTTAACTAACACATGTGCATTTTTGCTTTAGTAGAATAGAAAATTTGGAAATTTTTAGGAAATATAAACAAGATATTGCTGTTGTTGCTGATGTAGTTGTGGTTCATATTCTTGTTCTTGTTCTTGTTCTTGTTCTTGTTCTTGTTCTTGTTCTTGTTCTTGTTCTTGTTCTTGTTCTTGTTCTTGTTCTTGCTCTTGTTCTTGTTCTTGTTCTTGTTCTTGTTCATGTTGGTAGTTTTGTAACCTAAAGAAACACCTTTATAATTTCCCTTGGAAATTCTTTTTTCATTTGGTTCGATTCAAAATTCGAGAGAAAAGAAAAAAGGAAGTGAACAAAATGTGAGTATATGTAATGACGATGTGATCTGTATATATGTAGAAGTTAGAACAGCATAACTAAGTTCAAGATTAAGTTCTAGATCAGGATCAGGATCAGAATCAGGATCAGGATCAGGATCAGGATCAGGATCAGGATCAGGATCAGGATCAGGATCAGGATCAGGATCAGGATCAGGATCAGGATCAGGATCAGGGATCAGGATCAGGATCAGGATCAGGATCAGGATCAGGATCAGGATCAGGATCAGGATCAGGATCAGGATCAGGATCAGGATCAGGATCAGGATCAGGATCAGGATCAGGATCAGGATCAGGATCAGGGTCAGGATCAGGAAGAGAATAGAATAATACAGGGGAGCAGAGCAGAGTTTTCCTATTTTACCTTTATCCTCATGGCTGAGCCAGTAGAACCACGTGATACAAGTTCGGAGGAGGATGGAACCAGAATACCATGTGCTCAGGGTCAGGACCAGAGTCAGAGTCCAACCCAGAGTTTTATAGACTTAGACCCAGCACGGAGCCGATCCCCAAGCACCAGGGATCAGGAGCAAAGACGGAGTCAAACTCTGAGTACAAGAGAACATGAGTTGGAGCTGAGTAGAACTGCAAGTAGTCCAGAACTTCAGGAAAATAGATTTTAATCCATCAGTTCTACTCTACACTATACACTTCAGAGTTTGGTTTTGTACTATAGACCTTATTTTAAGTGATCCTCCATTTAATAAATGGCATGCCCGATTCAAAACAGTACCTTTAAACCGGAACCTCTATCAGAACAGCAAAAGAAAGATATCGTCGTTATTCTTAAATGATGTTTAATTCTCACAATTTCCTGAATTGAAACATAAATCGGCAAATAAATTTACTAGAGATAACATCAACTTGAAATAATCAATTTTTAGTCGGGAAAATGAAGGTTATCTTATTTATATTTGATCAGATAAACGTTGAAAGGATACTGATGTGAATCAGACTTCACACTCAGAAATGAAGGGACGCTTGCAATTTCCTCTTTCGTCCCTTTTTTAAAATCCAAACCTTTGTTTCTCCAACTGTTCCCCTTGTATTTAAAAGGTTTCTAAAAAGTTACGGTAGCCCTGAGATTTTCTGCTTGACATTTGACTGGGTGCTGGAAATATAATTGGCCTAGAAACTATGCATTTAGTTCGCTTCCACACAACAAAATATTATATTCAACTTGTGAACATTCCTTAGCTCAGGGTAAATCTTAAACACGGGGGGGGGGGGTTATCTGAGATAACAGATTTTAAAAAACGATTTTAATTTTTAATAATTATTAGATTTTTCCTAGTAAAGACAATGCTCAAGTTTATCCCTGTCTTTTACCCTTTAAATTACAGAGCTTTCTTGTTCCGCATATTTTCTTTCAGTTAATTTCATCCCATGAGGATTGTTTAAAAATGTTCAAATCTTAAAACTGATCCAAAAATGATTTTTGAAAAAAATTTGAGAATTCCGTGGAAAAATGATATTTTGTAAATCACTTAATTTTGCTAAATATGAACTAGGAATATGTAGTAGTTAACATTCCTTAACATCATTTACTCCTACTCCTACTCCTACTCCTACTCCTACTCCTACTCCTACTCCTACTCCTACTCCTACTCCTACTCCTACTTCTACTCCTACTCCTACTCCTACTCCTACTTCTACTCCTACTCCTACTCCTACTCCTACTCCTACTCCTACTCCTACTCCTACTCCTACTCCTACTACTACTACTACTCCTACTACTACTCCTACTCCTACTCCTACTCTAGGTTGAATGTAAGTGGACGGATATTTCATGTAAGTTGGAAACTTCTGTTATCTTTACCCAGCTCCAGGCAAACCCATCGTTCTTAATACTTTTATACAATGAGACCCATTGAACAGTGGATTCGGAAGACGACTGTCAGACTCATTTTATGAATTTTAAGTAGTCATTGCACCAGAAACACAGCAATGGTGTAGTATCAATACACAGACCCCTTTAAAGGAATTAAGTTTTTGCCACAACCCCAAATTTTCTAATCATTTTCCATCGGGTTGCATAGTTATATGGATCTGAAAATCAGAGTTTGTTGCAAAGACTCTTCTTTACAACAACCACTAATATACACGCACATAAGATTGTTTCATAATTTATTTGCGACAAACTTTAACTTATTCAAGTTGACACTTAATCCAGATTAGGATCAATAATTAGGACGTTTTTGCACCTCTATATATATATATATATATATATATATATATATATATATTTGCGTAAACTGTATGCTTCGTAAACTCTTTGACAGGTAATCTAACTTCATAATTTCAATCTATTTTTTATTATTTTGTAATTTCAATTTGCTTTGGAATTATAATTTACAAGATTAAAAATGTAATGAATATAAGAACGATGAAACGGGTTCAAGGTTGGGACGGTTAGCTCTCTGCACCAACCTGAGTCAGGTTCTAGCTCTCTGTGATAAATATGAACCCCGGAGAAATGAATTCTTCTTCAACTATAGATACAGGAATACAATGATAATAATTTTTAATTAAAAAAAAACGACATTTAAAGGGACAATTTACAACTTTTGAGAGTTCTCCTTTAACATATTGAAAACCCAACAAAGATACATAAAAGAGACAATTGTAAATCGTTGAATGAAAAGTCATTTAAAGGGAATTTAATGTGACCCTCCAGACAAGTATGACATGCACGATTCACAACAGTACCCTTAAAACCTTTAACTGATCAAGAAATCAGATATCAATATTTATAATCTTGAAAACTGTTTATTTTCAATTGTGGTTTCTCTACAATAGTGATTGAACAGTTCTACTCCAGGAAAACATAAAGGAAGTTTGAAAATGGAATAGGAAACAAACAATATCTTGCAACTTATTGATCAGATAAATGTTTCAAGGATAACGTTGTGCCACGGTCTTTATCTTCTTTGCATGGAGAAACATTTTGTAGTTTTTTAAAACAAAATTGACGATTAAATATTTTTGTATTTGTATAGTAATATGCTGGATATATTAACCTACTATAGAACAGGAAGCCTACACATTTCAGGGGATTGCTGTGTCGTTGCATTTGTACAGGTAGTATACTCATATGTACTGTACAGCGAGGAAGGGAAAGAAAGTCAAATAATTCCTGCATCCGAGCCTCATTTTTTTCATTTCCTCATCCGAGCCACTTCCAAATATGCATCCTTGTAATCTTGTTTTTTTTAGAATTCTTAAGATTGTGACTTTTTTATAAAATATTCCATCCCCAATCTTTTTTTCAATTTCTCAATTATTCCTCTCTAATATTTAAAGTGAATAGTACTAAAATAAATGATTTTTAAATATCCCTTTTACCTAATATATCTCAGAAAAATGTGCAAGAAACTGTGAATACTACTTTTTGAATAAAAGTGTTTCTCAAGTTGCTTTATAGTGCTGTAAACTTGAGGCAAATATCAACTGTGAAGGAAAAATACTTTTATTGACATTTTACAGAGAAAAATTCGAGCTAATGTTCTAAGTGTTAATCCCCCCCTGGCCCTCCTCCTTCTTCCTGGGATTTTATAACAAAGACAGAAGACGCCATAAGCGTCAAAAGACATTCACTTGTAGTAAAACTACTCAGCATCAAATCAATATTTAGGATTTAAGTTATTGGGGATTTTCTGAAAATAATCTTGAGTCCTGTTGTTTCAAGAGATATATGGATACCAAGGTTAGTTTCAAGAGATATATGGATACCAAGGTTAGTTTCAAGAGATGGATACTAAGGTTAGTTTCAAGAGATATATGGATACTAAGGTTAATTTCAAGAGATATGTGGATAATAAGGTTAATTTCAAGAGATATGTGGATACTAAGATTAGTTTCCAGAGATATATAGATACTAAGGTTAGTTTCAAGAGATATGTGGATAATAAGGTTAATTTCAAGAGATATGTGGATACTAACATTGTTTTCAAGAGATATGTGGATACTAAGGTTAGGTTCAAGAGATATGTAGATACTAAGATTGGTTTTCAGAGATATGTGATACTAAGGTTAGTTTTAAAAGATATGTGGATACTAAGGTTAGTTTCAAGAGAAATGTGGATACTAAAATTGGTTTCTAGAGATATATGAATACTAAGATTAGTTTCGAGATATATATGGATTGGATACTAAAATTATATTCAAGAGATATATGGATTGGATACTAAGGTTATATTCAAGAGATATATGGATACTAAAGTAAGTTTAAAGAGATTTTTAGATAGTAATAAAAAATCTGTAATCAGTTATTGCTGCCCAGAGACAAAAAAAAAATATTTTTGTTTTTGTTCAGTATTCTGTATAAATCAGAAATCTGCAACTTTTTACTCTATTATTTTTAAATATTTAAATATTTGATCACTAATTGATTAATTGATCAGGAGAACCTGGACTGGGATACCCAGAATACAGCCGGGGATGTAGAAATCGAGGTAATCAATAAATCAATTTAAATTCCTTTTAGTAAATATTTGACCAGATATACTAGTTTCGATTTAAAAATGGTATATAGACAAATATAACATGCTTTAAGGTTTTGTCGACTTAATACAAAGTACCCCCCCCCCCTCTTATTAAAAGGGATGCAAGGGCGATTCACAAGGGTACCCTTTACACCTTAATGAGGAAGATATAAATGTTTTTCTGTCTGAAAAAGGGACTAAAATTGGAAAAACTCAATGTTTGTTTCTGCTATCGATCGGGCCCAAATTTTGTGTGGGACTTCATATGCTCCCAGGGAAGGTTTGTAGGTGATCAAATTTTTCAATAATTTGCCTCCAACAAAATAAAAATAAAAATTTATTTGTTAAAAAAATGAATATCTAATTCATACTTAATCAGACAAAGCTTTTGAAGGTACCATTGTAAATCGGGCATTGTCATCTTTGCAAGGAGAGTCACTTGAAATTACGCATACAGTCCCTTTGAGCACCATTTTACAATTACATCACCAATTAATTGATGTTAGAAATAAAAAATATGTTTACGATAAATTTAACGCTTTGTATATATCTATTGAACCTATTTTTACCATTAAATGTAGTTATTTCGAATTTACTGTTTTGTACTTTTTATACACTTATTGTACTTTTTATACACTTATTGTACTTTTTATACACTTATTGTACTTTTGATACACTTATTGTACTTTTTGTACACTTTTGTACTTTTTATACACTTATTGTACTTTTTATTCACTTATTGTACTTTTTATATACTTGTTGTACTTTTTATACACTTATTGTACTTTTTATACACTTATTGTACTTTTTTATACACTTATTGTACTTTTTATACACTTATTGTACTTTTTTTACACTTATTGTACTTTTTATAGACTTATTGTACTTTTTATAGACTTATTGTACTTTGTATACACGATTCAATAAAAAAAATTGAGTTTATATCTAAGCACAAAGATTTTCTTACCTCTAGTCTTGTACAGCGAGAACTATAAAACTGTGGAATAGGAAGACGACTGTTAGCCCTGAGTTATGACTTTAAATATATCAAAAACATAAAACTAGGAATACGACATTTAAGCAATCTTAGATGTATTAAATGTTTTTTAAAAGCATACAGGTTTACCAGTCGCTTGAAAAAGTAAAATGGGTATTTGAAATTCATTGGAATATTCTAAATCATAACTTGTGTCTACAAGTCGTCTTCCTATGGTTTTATGGGTCTCCCTGTACGCAGACCTATTTCACTTAGTAAGTACCATTGTATAATTTGATTTTTAGATTTTCCCTCCAGGACCTCGAGGCAGGGTTCAGAAAGTACTTTGGGATCTATTTGAACATCCTCATACATCCATGTCAGCTAGAGTCATAGGAATAGATTCAATATCTTCAACTAACATTTTTTAAAATTTTGCTTAAGATGTCGAAAAAATTTATTAATTTCTTCTCCTCGAAAAAAAATCTAATTATTATTGTATCTTTTAAATATATTTCCTTTTTTCAAATTTAAATTGTTCTGATGAACTCTTTCGAGTAGGGAGGTAAAAAAATATTGTACTCTAGAGGGTTATCATAACCTTACTCTGAAAAATGCCCAGTAAACCAATAAAAAAATCTGAGTTAGTTCTTGGAAGAAAAATAATTGAAAAATATAAAAAAAGAAAATTTTTTTTTTTTAATGAAAGTCAAGAATCTTTTTGTCTTTCAGGAATTGTATCAGTGACCTGCATATTCATTTCTACCGTGATATTAACTTTAGAAACACTTCCTTACTTCCAGGTACTTACTTCCTCCAGGTACTTACTTCCTCCAGGTACTTACATTCTCCTGGTACTTTCTTCCTCCATGTACTTACTTCCTCCAGGTACTTACATTCTCCAGGTACTTACTTCCTCCAGGTACTTTCTTCCTCCAGGTACTTACATCCTCCAGGTACTTACTTGCTCCAGGTACTTGCTTCCTCCAGGTACTTACTTCCTCCAGGTATTTGCTTCCTCCAGGTACTTATACTTCCTCCAGATACTTACTTCCTCCAGGTACTTACTTCCTCCAGGTACTTACTTCCTTCAGGTACTTACATCCTCCAGGTACTTACTTCCTTCAGGTACTTACTTCCTCCAGGTACTTACATCCTCCAGGTACTTACTTCCTCCAGGTACTTACTTCCTCCAGGTACTTACTTCCTCCAGGTACTTATACTTCCTCCAGGTACTTACTTCCTCCAGGTACTTACTTCCTTTAGGTACTTACTTCCTCCAGGTACTTCCATTATCCAGGTACTTACATCCTCCAAGTACTTACTTCTTTCAGGTACTTTATTCTTTCCGGCACTTACTTCTTCTAGGTACTAACTTCCTCCAGGTACTTACTTCTTCCAGGCACTTACTTCCTCCAGGTACTTACTTCCTCCAGGTACTTACTTCCTCCAGGTACTTACTTCCTCCAGGTACTTACTTCCTCCAGGTACTTACTTCCTCCAGGTACTTACTTCCTCCAGGTACTTACTTCCTCCAGGTACTTACTTCCTCCAGGTACTTACTTCCTCGAGGTACTTACTTCCTCCAGGTACTTACATTCTCCAGGTACATACTTCCTCCAGGTACTTACTTCCTTCAAGCACTTACTACTTCCAGGTACTTATTTCTTCTAAAAACCCACTTTTTATTAATGATTAAATTAATTAAAATGGAGAATGAAACATTAAAATAAATGATATAATCTTGTGTGCAGTTAATACTAAATAAAAGAAAATCCTAATTCAACGATCTTGACCTGTTTTAAGACAATGTGAAAACATTAATGAGACTACAGCGGTTAGTAAACTATGTATGTTGTACATTTGGATACAATAAAGAATTAGTTCCTGTCTATAACAATTTGAAAAATAATGATAAATCTCGACGATTTAGCAACAAAAAGTTTAGTTCTAAAATTGAAATTGGTGTTTGGAAAATTTGTGAAAATAGGCGTTCATAAAGGAATTGAGTCATTGCCACAAACTACGATTTTCTACTCCATATATCTTTGCACCCAATTATTTCATAGATATTTAAACTATATATTCTGTTAGATTAAATAACCTAAGTTTGAAATATCAAAGGTTTACACCGTCAAGTTGCAAAGATATAGTGATTAGAAAATTTGAGTTTGTGACAAAGACTCAATTCCTTTGTTCGGATTTCATGTAAAGTTGGATTCTCTTAAAAGTCTAAATAATTGCCTCAAACTCTAATTTGCATATGTTTATATATCTTTGCAACCTGATTAAACAAGTTTTTAACAAATGAAACTATGAATTCTGCAGTAGCTCAAGTAGTCAAAAAAGGATTGAAAATGTTGATTCAAGACTACTATTCAGTTCCTTTACAAATTATGCAGTTCCGCTATTAAAGGAAAGTAATAATGTTACTGAAAGAGATCATATTAAAGCATGTTTCAATCGGAAAAAAACTTTTCTTCTAATTTTTTTTGTATCTTTTAATATGAATAAATGTTTAGGAACATGAGGACCAGACTTTAGGAGAATTTAGGAAATCATTCAACAGTCGGATAATTTGACGTGAAAATAAATATTTTACTTAGTTTAATTGGTTTCAATTTTCAACTTATCAGAATATTTTTATCAATTAAGAAATAGGAAAAAATCCTTCATTTAACATAATTCTTCGATTAGTTTAATTCATAGAAAAAAAATGAGAAAATTTTCCTGAAGGAAAGAATTACTTGTTTCACAATTAAATATGTATAACTCTATATCTTTGTAATCTGATGGTGTATACCTTTGATATTTCAAATATTTACTATTTGATCTGACAGAATTTAAAGTTCAAAATATCAAAGGGCATCGAAATCATGTTACAAAGATATAAGGATAAGATAATTGAATTCTGAGGCAAGTAATCAGTCCTTTTGTTTTAATCTGTGACGGCTTGAATGTTATTAGTGTATTTGCAATGATCGAGGCAGTTTATATGTCCTGGTTCACATTAGAATTCCTAGGCAAGGAATTAAACATCCCATTTTTAATTCAACTAAAGCATTGAAATTACACTGTGGGTTCAATACATTGTAAAAGACATGTATCTAACAGATAAACAAAAATTAACAATTTTAAGGATTTTAATCTGCAGTGTTGAAACTTGTCTTAAAATCAACTATGTTTAAGATTCTAAGATCAATAGATAATACAAAATTTCCAACTTTCACCTTTATAGTTTTTTTAACCCTGAAAGTTTAAAGAATAACTCTGCATGAAATATTATTGATTTCAGAACTATTTTTTCAGTTATTTTATTAGACTTGTTGAATTTGTAAAGCCTTGCAATAGTCTACTTGAGGGGTTATATATTATGTTTTGAAGAGATCAATAACCAAGTTATTAAAATATAAATAATATATTTGATATCTATGAATGCATTTTTAATAGATTGTTCACATATTTGAAGAATAGATGATTCTATAATGATCAAAATTGCCCCCCCCCCCCGCATCACCAAAATACATGATCAAAACTCTTTAAGTTGGGCTGAGACTAAATCCTTCCTTAGTTAGACTTGTCTGCTGTCCGAGTAAAGTTGATTTTTTAAAGAAAACAATGAATTGGATTGATCTGCTAGGTTAGACAATATTATTCATTTTTTATGGTTGTTTTATTTTTATTTTTATCCATTTTTATTCCTTTTTATCAAAGTTTCAAATCTCTTTATCTTTGCAACCAGAAAGTGTAAACTTTGAAATTTCAATGATTGACTACGATATCGGTTTGCAAAGATAAAGGATTTAAAAATCCTGAGTTTGTGGCAATATCACTCTGATTTTCTAATCCCGAAAACTTTGCAATCTGATGTCGTAGACCTTTTCTATTTCAAACAATGAAAGCTGTTAGATCAAAAGGTCAAATTTGAAATATCCAAGGTTAGAACATTGTAGTGTTCGATTCATTTTTAAAAGTTTTTTTCAAACTCTTTTATTTAATTGCAGTTTCTAGAAACCGAAGTTTTTAAATGAAGAAAGCTATCATTCATTCTTTTATCAAAGTTTCATTATTTTATTTTTGTAAAATCTGTAAAGATTTCAAAATAATACTTTAAACTTTTTAGAAACTTATAAAATCCTCATGTTGGGAGTAATCCAGCCTTGGTCAATACTATATAAACAGTTCTTAAAGTTTTCATTTGACAAAATTCTTTAACAAATGCGAATAAGGCCATAATTTTATCTTGTTCTTGTTCATAGCTGGAAACTTTTAATAACTGAATTAGTTTAACTCATTACGTTCATTCAATATTTTCATATTCGAGCTCGGAAATTTTGGATTGCTAATTTTTCTGAATAATATTGTTGTCCAGCAATAATCCCTTACTACGTGACGGTTGGTCTGCAGAGCTACGGAGTCCTGGATCAGGTTGAGGATCAGGGTCTCCAGCTAGGGGTCGGAGAAGGGGAGGAGGAGCTGCATCCTGGGACGGATCCAGGAAATGGTCTGGATATATTGATATTTAACCCTTTTGTGTAGAAACTAAGAAAACCCCTTTTTAAATGCTCTATTTTTAACTAGATTAGAGTTAAGCTTAAAGTTCTGCATGCCAAAAATATGCCAATAATCAAATTTTTAATTACTTATTTGATTTTTGCATGCATTTAATGTATATAACGTTTCGCAACCCTTTGTGTATACTCTATCACTAACAAAATTTTAAACATTAATACACCAAAATAAAACCCTACTCTAATTTTACAATAAATAAAAATAAATAAGGAATGAAAAAAAACCTCAGATAAATCTCAGGATAATCTTGTGAATATCTCAGATATATCTCAGGATAATCTTGTAAATATCTCAGATATATCTCAGGATAATCTTGTGAATATCTCAGATATATCTCAGGATAATCTTGTAAATATCTGAGATCTCAGGATGATCTTGTAAATATCTCAGATCTCAGAATAATCTTGTAAATATCTCAGATCTCAGGACAATCTTGTAAATATCTCAGATCACAGGATAATCTTGTAACTATCTCAGAATGATTTCGCCATGTTCTAGAAAGTTTCTCTAAGATCGGAAAAGATTAGTTAAGAATGCTGTCACCTGCAGCTGTAGATGGGATAACGGAATTTTTCTGTTAAAATGCAAAATGATTTTTCTTCGCAATGAGGAAGGATAAGTACTTTAGTAAGGGGAAGGATAAGTAAGATTTAGTAAGGAGCGTGTGTGGTTTAGAGATGGTTTCGGGACGGTTTGAGGACGGTTTGAGGACGGTTAAGGCATTTTAGGGATGGTTATTGGTCAGGGTGATTTAGGGACGGTCAGGACGGTTTAGGGACGATTAGGACGGTTTAGGGAAGGTTTAGTGCCGGTTGAACTGCAGTTGAACTCTGTGACGTGAAATAGGGCATAGTTACTGACTAAAGATACAGCTTAGAAATATGAAACCTTTCCCCGTCAGAAATACTTTGACTCAGGCATTACTAGATTTATTATTTCAGCGGAGAGCCATGGGGGGGGGGGGGCAGAAGGACGGGGGTAGATCAATTAATGAAACGGTCAATGGTTTTTACGGCTTTATTCAAGAAAGTTGTAAAACAATTTTTAAAAAAAACTAAAATATTTTCCTTTAATGACGTCATAACTACTAACATAAGTGTAGTTACGTAATTGGAATGAAGTTTGAATTTACAACGATTTATATAAAAATACATAATTCAAACCGTTAGGATAATCTCAACCTTGATCTTGATCAATTTTACTCCTAGTTCCATCTAATAAACCATCTTACTCCTAGTTCCATCTAATAAAACATTTTACTCCTAGTTCCATCTAATAAAACATTTTACTCCTAGTTCCAACTTATAAAACATTTAATTACATAAACCAAACTCTGTCATCAAAGTACTTGTTTTTTTTACGATGCAAAGTTTGAGAGGGAAAGTATTTTTGGTTTCAAATGTACAAAGTACACACAGAGACCTTTAAAACGTTTAAAACAATTAAAACATAAATTTTTCACTTCAATTTTAAATCTCCGAAAATGTTTGAACCCTGAAAAAAATCTGTTATTCTTTTATTGTTATTTTTATTCAATTTCCGGGTTATCTTTAAAAGGTTTTTTGATCTGGATATTAAGAGTGGGGAGGGGGGGGGGGG